AGATTTTTTCGACTTTTTTTTAAAGCCGATATTTGCAAAGTACACGACTATTTATATTTTTCTTATAACTATTATGACTTAGCCTATCCCCCGTTTCCGCCTTGACTTCGAATTCTGGGACACCCTGTATGTAAAAATGAGAGTGTTGCTTCACTATGCTCACAATAAAAGCACAATTTGGAACAGATAGATACATAATTCTAATGAGACTTCTACTTTTGTTCTTACTATGAATGCAGTATATCAACACCTTCCTTTTTATATTTTTTATTGTAGATTTGAAGTAGGTAGTGTTGCGACCGTGCTCCCATAAAAAAAAGTAATTAGTTGAAGAATTACGACATTTAGCCTCTTGAAGAACATTCAAATATTAAATAAAAGCAAAAATACCGATAAAAGTTTAAATACAAATATGTTCTAAAACATATAAATGTAAAACTTTCAAAGATGATAGAATTTGAGTTATATTTTCATAGCCGAAAGATCCGCTCATAAACCCTGATTCTTGCATGAATAAATCCTGGACTATAAGTTGCAGCAAGGTAAATAAGGCCTTATGATAGAAATATAATTTAAATTAATATTCCGCATATAGAAATGGCGCTGTGGTACTCGGTAATCTGGGCTCTGTTATAAATAGCACTTAACTCAATTGTCTGTCTGTGTGTCTGTATTATCCTAATTTAAAAAGCATTAATTATCTCAATTTGCTTTCCTTCATAGAATCAGATATATGTATTGATGTTAATACGAACCTGTGATTTAGTCACTCATGAAACAAATACACGTCTGTTTCCTAATAGTTATTTTACGGAGTTGTAAGATCATTTGAGTTGCACCATCAAAGGTCTAACATAAACTAAGATACGACACCTATTGGTGAGTTGATACTCTCATCTTTTATTGTCTAAGCACGTTAATGCATCTACACTAAATATCAGTTCATTGAGAAAGATTTAAAACTCTATTACAATCTATTAGAATATTTACCTAACTATGGTTTTCATGCATGTATCACCATACTTTTTTTATTTCATATCAAGTTTTATACGAGCCTTAATTACTATGTACGTAAGGTTATAGCGGGGCTAGACAAATGGAGATTAAGAAGACATGGGAACAAAAGTTTCATTTCGTAGCCAAGGGGCAAGTTTGTCGTGTAAGGCCTTAGAGCTGAGATATTTATCCCCATAGTAAATTAGTAACTAGAGGAATCATTGATTTTAGAGATCTGACGCATAATAATAATATTACAATGCCTTTGCACTTGCACCACACACTGTATTTTTTCAAAAGTGTTTCACTTCCAATGCAGTGAGGTTGTACAACTCAACCGACCCTGCCTGGAGAAGCAAACGTGTTGTAATATTCAGGAAGCTGTTAAATCTATTGTGAATAGTTATAATGATCTTTTCCTTGTTTTTCTTTGTATTATCATTCATTTTTGGTTCTCATCTGGTTCCTTTTTGGTAAATCAACACAGCGTGGATTTGTCAATTGAGTATGTTTTCTCTTTTTATTAGCTCACTCAGTTGAACATCAAATCGATGTATTTATTTTTAAGTTGGTGTGTATCCAATTTTGCTTTGTATTTCCTCACAACAGGGTTGGGTGTAAGTGTAGCCAAATGGCTAAACTTCGCTCTATTGTTGTGACTCTAATAAAGACATTTTATTATTATGTTAGGCGTAACGGGGTTTGATACAGAAGAGATATTTGAAGCAATTGTGACTTTCGGTCGCGTCCAAAAAATTATCCGAAATAAAATGAGATACCGTAGCATCATCTGTTATTATTTGTCACAGCTGTTTATCTATTTACTATACAGGGTTGTGTATTTCGGTAATCAAAAAAATGCCGCTCAGAAAGTTTTAAAGTACCTACTTCCGGGGAGAGACGGAAAAAACCGAATTTTCCCAAAATCGTTTTAGTTTTTTCTTGACTTAATTTGTAGTGGAATTTCAAAATAAATCTCAGATTGACGTTGCCACTTGCCTCTACAAGACGGCATAATTAGAATTTCAATATGACGTTTCTCGGCTCCTGTCCTCCAGCATCAACTTTATTTTTTCCTATACTAAGTGACATATAAATCCGAACACCCAGTTTAAATGGTTTTATTTTAATAAAATTTTGTATAAGTATTTATTATTATTATTATTATTATGATAGTTGAGATGAGCAGAGTACACAGTACTATAAGCTCATGCAGTAAATATAGTGTACGGACACGTAACACAAATACATCAAATAGAAAAAAATAAAAAAATACAGTTCATAGCTATAAAGTTTGTAATGAAGTATAATAAGTAAATGATAAAAATTTCAAAATGATTGCACTGCTTTAAAGCCCTTTGACCTTTAATAATGTGTGGATGCACCCTGATGTGCTACGCATTCTCCAACGCGCCTAGGCATGCTTCTGAGCAGGTGGCAGGTGGTCAATGTCCTCCTGTGGTATCTCATTCCAGGCAACCACCAACTCCTCTCGAAGTGCTTCTAGAGTCTGAGGAGGACGTTGCAAATTGAGCAATCTCCTACCCATCAAATCCCACACGTGCTCAATTGGGGATAAGTCGGGAGATCTTGGTGGCGATGGTAACAATGTGACATCATTATGTTGAAAGAAGTCTATTGTGACTCTTGCAACATGTGGTCGGGCATTATCTTGTTGGAAAGTTGGATCTGCCAGGGTGTCAAGATAGGGTAAAAGATGGGGTTCTAGAACTTCGTGGATATAACGCTGCGCGTTCATGTTACCTCTGATGAAGATTAAAGGTGACCTGGAACCATAAGCTATAGCACCCCAAACCATAACTCCAACAGTGTGATGAACATGTCTTTCAACAAAAAACTGTGGATTCCTCCTTTCACCACGTCGCCTTCTAACCCTGGCACGACCATCGTGCATGCCTAAACAAAATCGAGACTCGTCACTAAAGACAATACTGTTCCATTCCTGATCCCAGAGTGACCGTTGTCTGCACCACTCAAGGCGATTACGTCGGTGTTCTCGAGTTAAAGGGAGGACCCAGTGTGGCCGGTATGAAAACAAGCCAAAACTTCTCATTCGTCGGTAAACACTTCGCATGCCAATAGGTCTTCCGTGTTCTGCAAACCATTCATTTGCAATGGACCTGGTATTGGAGAAACGGTCGCTTAAGGCCAATAATCTTAGGCGCCGATCTTCACGGTCTGTTGTTCTACGGCGGCGTCCAGTGCCCCTTGCTCTTTGCGTACGGCCTTCTCGAAGCCATGTCCGACAACACCTAACCATAGAGTCTACACTTCTTTGCACTCTAACTGCAATTGCCCGAAAAGAAAGTCCAGCTTCCCGAAGTCCCACTATACGACCCCTATCAAACTCACTAAGTTGACGAAATCGTACGGGTGTCCGTACTCTAGGCATCGTAACCGATCGTAAAGGATGTCAAGAACCAAAATCCGTCAACGTTGATTCTTTACTGCGGCTGAAATATTCATTTTTAGAGCGTTAGTGAATTAAAAAAAGCAGTATAAAAACCGGAATGTCCAACTGATAAGGCTGAAAATTTTTTCACTTGTTATTTACAGTAAGATAAATACATTCACCAACTTTTATTAAAATAAAACCATTTAAACTGGGTGTTCGGATTTATATGTCACTTAGTATATTTGCGCCATATTGAATTTTTGCACAGATAAATACAGTTTTCGATTCTGGTTTCAAAAATGTATAATAAGTCATACACTGACACCTTAGTTATTCCAAGAAGAGTAGAATTTCCTAGGTAGCCTTGAAATTATCAAAGATAGTCATTTGTTTAGCATATCAGATTTATTCCAAAATAACTTTTAGTTTTTACTTTACTTCATTTGAGATGGGATTTTAAAATAATATTGTCAATTATGCAATTTACTTAGAAATCCCACTACAAATAAAGACAGGAGAAAATTAAAAAGATTTTGGGAAAATTCGATTTTTTCCGTCTTTGAATTACGAAACTTTCAGCGGCATTTTCTTAATTAACTAAATACGCAGCTTTGCCTCTATTCAAGCAACTTCGCATCTCTTACTGTTTCCGAGATCTCAATGGGGAGGATCGAATTTTGAAACATGTGGTATAGGGCGATATATTGGTCCTTATTTACTAATTTTGTAGATTTTCTGTTTCGGAAGGCATTCGAATGATTAGCCCAATAAAACTGTGAACATTTACGGAAAAAATCTGATCGTAATTTGGAGGTCATTTTTGAGTACCTAGGGCGATTTTGATTTGAAGTAACCATATATCATGGGGTCTAATGCTTTCTCGGGATGGAAATAGCGAATAAATAAAAAACTAAAATTTATTTTTCCCTAACCTTGACACTATGAAAGCGTCTCCTGACCGAACGGTTTGGCTTGAAACCCTGAAATTTTACAAAGCTTTATGCCTCCATAGGTAGACGGAAAAGTCAATTTAACATTCGAATTATGCCATCTTGTAAAGGAGAAAAAGTGACAATGTTAACGTGCATTTTATATTTTGGAATCCGACTACAAATAAAGAAAATATTAAAACGATTTTGGGAAAATTCTGGTTTTTCCGTCTCTCTCCGGAAACTTTCTAAGCAGTATTTTGCGGCAATGGCACGGTTGTCCCGCTCCTGGATCCGCGCCTGCCCTGAAGAATACTTCTCCATGTCATGTCCATGAACATTCTTTGTTGCTTGAACATAGGTTTATTCGCCACTGATACAGCTCACTACTCCTGATTTGGGGCCAGTTGCATTGAAGCTACAATCTGTGGGTGGCTCTTTGGTTATTTAGAACATACCAGGCAGCGTGTGGTAAAATTCTGGATGGAAATCGTTTAATTAAGGATTTATTCTACTTGCCTGCATTTTGTGGTTCCAATAATGAGCAAATTTGTAACACGCAAAGATCAATTTGAGACAATTAAAGTCTCTATTCATTCTATATTAATTGCTTTTAATATAACCGTTCAGTTACGATTTTTATTATGACCTCGTTCTAGAGTGGCAAAGAAACATGTACATTTTATTCTAAATCAGTCGGCAATTCTGGAGGTTGGTCACTGAGTCTGACTAATGTATGTCTCTGTGAAGTCTAGCCGTAGTGTGGAATGCTCCTCAGATGTAAGTACCTAATAAGTCAATTAACATTAGCCTTGCACATTAATGCATCTAATTACCTTCATCATTCTTCTTACAATTACTATTATCAAGGTCATTTTACTCAATTTCATACAAATAACATTTACAGACTAAGAAAAGTGAAGTCACTGCATGAAAACCTTTCACGTTCTGCCTAGTATCCATTAGAACAAAGTGCCGAAACATGCGCCGTGTGATGTGTCAGAAATTTATTGCGTTACAACATGTTATGGAACAAGTGCCGGGGCAAAAATCCTGAAAGTAGTGAAAGTGACTGAACATGTGTCGCAATTTGCGCCGTGGACATTCCAGTTTGCAGAATGTGCCCAACAATTTTGTACGGACAATAGCGATGTGTTTTCTAGTTCACTTCGGTGAACTAGTTCAATAGGTCGCGCTCACTAAAACAAAATAGTTCGCGAATGAACTATTTTATGCAAGAAAAGCGGTCGGGCGCGGTTAGTATTTGGATGGAGAACCGCTCGTTGCTGTTTTTTTTGTATTTCATTTTCTTTGTTATGTTGGATGTTTCCAATTTAAAACTGTCGCTCACATAGCAGATGTAGCTATCATATACACACGTTTCCTAGCAATCGTTTTTTGATTGCACCAGTTCTGGAGGTTTTCAATAAATAACACAGATGTAGGCAACCCTAGGTATGTAGATGTCCTTCATCCGCGAGACAGGTTTTTTTTAGTATCGCAGTAAAAAAAACCAAGCGGAAAAACAGTGTCAGACCTCTTGGACGATTCTAACCTTAAGGTAAATCGTCTTTGCGCAGCTTATAATCCAGTCACAGCAGGCATTCTCGAACGAGATAAATATTTCCATGAACCGCTTTTACCACTGAAGTGGCACCAGGAACAAGCAAAATCTATCCCAGATTAGTTGAGATTGTTAAAAAACGTTTGTATCTGCCATCTGTGCTATGCGACCGGCTGAGCAAGCAGTATTGTCAGCAGAAATAGACTATATACCGACAAAGTTAAAAAATTAATAGTTTTAAATGGACGTTTATAGTCAATTTACATTTTCATTTTAGTGTTGAGCCGCAATGTATGATCTTTTTTTATAAAAACCAGCTAATTTTTAATTTTTTCATCCTTTATAACTAACAGCATTTATCATCTTATTCATAAATTTGAGGCAGTTATCCAACATTTTGCTCACGATTCTGCTCCGTCTCCTTTCATCTATCTCGTTCTCATTCGTTCACTCAGAACTAGTTCGATTGGATCATCGGGATCCTGTAATATCAGTCGTTTGTAATGAACGAGTTAACGAGTTTTTTAAAGTCCGATGAACTAGTAAACTTAGTTCAATAATAAGAATCGTTTGATTGAACTAGTTAGTTCGCGAACTACAGACTATTACAGTTAGTATTTAGATGAATAACCACTTCTGGACATCTCGTAATGTTAATTTTTCGTTTTTTTTTCACTTATTTTTTGATAAGACGAATGTTTCAAGTTTAAATAATCTACGTAAACTGTCTCTCACTTAGAAGATGTAGCTATGAGATTTACACGTTTTCTAACAATATCAAATAATATGGGATACACTTTTGTTCTTTGTTTTCACCAGTTCAAGGGAGTTTCAATAAATTGTACATACCTTTGATTAGAGATGTCAGATGTTTTCCTTTCGGGAGAACTATCCTCTTTAGTATCGCAGATGAAAGCCAAGACATGCCAAGACACTTGGGACCATTTTCATCTTTAGGTAGAACGTCTTTTCGGAGTTCTAATGAATATTCTAGTAAACCGCCTTCATTGGGAACAGAGGATCCTCTAAAGTGGTGGGAGGATACAGCAAAAGTCTATTTAAGATGATTAAGGTGCTAAAAATTTTTTTACAATAAGGTAATTTGGGGCGCTGAATATGAGTATCATAGTGAAAAAATTGTGTCATCGGACCGGATTTGTGCTAAAAAACTAGTTATCCGGGGCTTCACGTGTATCCTAGAATCGAATTCGGAATCTACGCACCCGATTTACCTAGAAAACAAGCTTCCATCTACATACATCATAGACGCGCAACAGTTTTTGGAGATTTTTGGATTCGGTTTCAGCAATCCATAAAACGTTTATAGGAATTTATAGGAATGATTGTGCTCACGTTTATGACTGACCCATTTTTTGCCCTTTTAGGAACAAATACCTGGTAACTGAAAATTAAAATGCTTTAAATACGATTCAATTGACCTCTTTTGAATCTGATCCCGTATATCATGTATATTTAAATTTTTTGCAATTTTAAGATGCTAAAAATCCATTTTTATTATCGATGCGCAGCTTTGTACAAAAGGTAATTTGGGGCGTTGAATGAGTATCCCGTGAAAAAAAATCTACTGTCATCGGACCGGATTTGGTTTTAAAAAACTGGTAGAAAATTAGTTATACGGGGCTTCACGTGAATCCTAGCACTGAATTAAGATTCAATTCGGAATCTACGCATCCGATTTACCTATAGAACAAGGTTCTATCTACATCATAGACGCGCAACAGTTTTTGGAGATTTTTTGTTAGTCGTTTCTTGGCACAGTAAAATTCTTGGCACTATCTCGAAAATGAGAAATTTCCAGACTGAATGGTCTTCGGATCCTATTATAGGAATGGTTGGGCTCACGTTTATGACTGACCCATTTTTTGCCTTTTTTGTAACAAATACCTGGTAACTGAAAATTAAAATGCTTTAAATACGATTCAATTGACCTCTTTTGTATCTGATCCCGTATATCATGTATATCTAATTTTTTTGCGAAAAATTGCAAAAACCGTTTTTTGTGCTTTTAAGGTGCTAAAAATCCATTTTTATTATCGATGCGCAGCTTTGTACAATAAGGTAATTTGGGGCGTTGAATATGAGTATCCCGTGAAAAAAATTCTAGTGTCATGGATTTGGTGTGAAAAACTGGTAGAAAATTAGTTATACGGGGCTTCACGTGAATCCTAGCACTGAATTGAGATTCAATGCGGAATCTACGCATCCGATTTACCTATAGAACAAGCTTCTATCTACATCATAGACGCGCAACAGTGTTTGGAGATTTTTTGTTAGTCGTTGCTTGGCACAGTAAAATTCTTGGCACTATCTCGAAAATGAGAAATTTCCAGACTGAATGGTCTTCGGATCCTATTATAGGAATGGTTGGGCTCACGTTTATGACTGACCCATTTTTTGCCTTTTTTGTAACAAATACCTGGTAACTAAAAATTAAAATGCTTTAAATACGATTCAATTGACCTCTTTTGTATCTGATCCCGTATATCATGTATAGCTAATTTTTTCGCGAAAAATTGCAAAACCCGTTTTTGTGTTTTTAAGATGCTAAAAATCCGTTTTTATTATCGATGCGCAGCTTTGTACAATAAAATAATTTGGGGCGTTGAATATGACTATCCCGTGAAAAAATTCTAGTGTCATCGGACCGGATTTGGTGTGAAAAACTGGTAGAAAATTAGTTATACAGGGCTTCACGTGAATCCTAGCACTGAATTGAGATTCAATTCGGAATCTACGCATCCGATTTACCTATACAACAAGCTTCTATCTACATCATAGACGCGCAACAGTTTTTGGAGATTTTTTATTAGTCGTTTCTAGACACAGCAAAATTCTTGCCAGTATCGAAAACGAGGCATTTCGAGACTGAATAGGCCTTGGATCTGGTCTCAGAGATTCAAAAAACGTATTATAGGAATGATTGGGCTCACGTTTATGACTGCCCCTGTTTTGCATTTTTTTGTAACAATACCCCTGGTCCATGGTAACTAAAAATTAAAATGCCTTAAATGCGATTCAAATAACCCCTTATGTACACGTTTTGTGTCGCTAAAATATGTACCTGATCCCGTCTATCATATAGATATAATTGTTTAACGAAAAATTGCAAAACTATGCGTTTTTTTTGCTAAAAATCCGTTATTATCGATCGCTACATGAGAACTATACTAAGTGACATATAAATCCGAACACCCAGTTTAAATGGTTTTATTTTAGTAAAATTTTATATAAGTACTTAATGAAGCATAATAAGTAAATGATAAAAATTTCAAAATGATTGCACTGCTATAAAGCCCTTTGACCTTTAATAATGTGTGGATGCACCCTGATGTGCTACGCATTCTCCAACGCGCCTAGGCATGCTTCTGATCAGGTGGTCAATGTCCTCCTGTGGTATCTCTTTCCAGGCAACCACCAACTCCTCTCGAAGTGCTTCTGGAGTCTGAGGAGGACGTTGCAAATTGAGCAATCTCCTACCCATCATATCCCACACGTGCTCAATTGGGGATAAGTCGGGAGATCTTGGTGGCCATGGTAACAATGTGACATCATTATGTTGAAAGAAGTTTATTGTGACTCTTGCAACATGTGGTCGGGCATTATCTTGTTGGAAAGTTGGATCTGCCAGGGTGTCAAGATAGGGTAAAAGATGGGGTTCTAGAACTTCGTGGATATAACGCTGCGCGTTCATGTTACCTCTGATGAAGATTAAAGGTGACCTGGAACCATAAGCTATAGCACCCCAAACCATAACTCCAACAGTGTGATGTCTTTCAACAAAAAACTGTGGATTCCTTCACTAAAGACAATACTGTTCCATTCCTGATCCCAGAGTGACCGTTGTCTGCACCACTCAAGGCGATTACGTCGGTGTTCTCGAGTTAAAGGGATGACCCAGTGTGGCCGGTATGAAAACAAGCCAAAACTTCTCATTCGTCGGTAAACACTTCGCATGCCAATAGGTCTTCCGTGTTCTGCAAACCATTCATTTGCAATGGACCTGGCAGTGGAGAAACGGTCCCTTAAGGCCAATAAGCTTAGGCAGCGATCGTCACGGTCTGTTGTTCTACGGCGGCGTCCAGTGCCCCTTGCTCTTTGCGTACAGCCTTCTCGAAGCCATGCCTGACAACACCTAACCACAGTGTCTACACTTCTTTGCACTCTAACTGCAATTGCCCGAAAAGAAAGTCCAGCTTCCCGAAGTCCCACTATACGGCCCCTATCAAACTCACTAAGTTGACGAAATCGTACAGGTCTCCGTACTCTAGGCATCGTAACCGATCGTAAAGGATGTCAAGAACCAAAATCCGACAACGTTGATTCTTTACTGCGGCTGAAATATTCATTTTTAGAGCGTTAGTGAATTAAAAAAAAGCAGTATAAAAACCGGAATGTCCAACTGATAAGGCTGAAAATTTTTTCACTTGTTATTTACAGTAAGATAAATACATTCACCAACTTTTATTAAAATAAAACCATTTAAACTGGATGTTCGGATTTATATGTCACTTAGTATAGTTATTCGCGGATTCACGATTTACCTACCTAATCTAACTGTTTAGCGAAAATTGCCAAACTGTGTGCTTTTGCGACTTTAAAAAACGTTTGTGACTTATAGCGACAATACTATGCGAGCGGTTTTTTCGAAGGATGGGCAACTCTTGTCGGAGAGAAGAAATAGACTAGAAGCCAATAAAATTTTAAAGAATAATGATAAAAATGAAAATTGAAAAAGTTAGCTAGTTTTTACATCTTTCAGACTTAGTACTAACAGCATTTGTTATTATCCTTTTTAATCAAATCATTTTGTCCTGTTCGATATTCTTGAACTAAACCACGATCTATCCAGACAACCAGTTATACAATCTTCTGTATATTGGCTTGCCTACTCTGTGTCTCATATCTCGTTATCATCAGTTCAGTCATAAGAATCGTTCTTTTGAACTAGTTCATTCGCGGACTATACATCACTAACGGACCCGCCCCGCCCGCTCTTCTTCAATTTTCAATATACGAAGAAAAAGTCTAATTGTTCATTTTACGAAACTTGCAGTAAGTGAGTCCCAAACAACCTTCCATAACGTCGCCCATGTATAACTCTTGCAGCTAAGCTCCAGCCAAGCCACTGGTCCCCACGGAAATCGCGTCCAGTATAATCGTACCCTAAGGCCGTTTCCTGATTTGTCGGTGTGGTATCTTTGCGGCGGCGGTATGCTGGGTATACGCGGTACCGGAAGCTTACCGAGCGCCTATATTTCAATGAGTGCTTTCTGATTAGCGCGGATTGTGCGGGAGCGGGGAGGGATCCGTTCGGTTTACCGCATCTCGGCACGCTCGTCCAGGCGGCGCTCGGGATTCACCGCAAGTATACGCACATGCACTGCAAAATGGCGAAAATACATTTAACTTGTGAGGATGACACGGAGATACAAATAACACGTCAAAATATCATCATCACTCGAACACGAAGATGACATCTCGCCACAAAACAAGCCGTACTGCAGAATTTCATACCGAGTAATGCGTAGATGGAAGTAATTCGGTATTGATTCGGTAACAGAGCATACCGCCGCCGCACCGATACCGCACCGACAAATCAGGAAACGGCCTAAGAAGGAAACTGGTTTGGCCGTTGAGTGACCCTACTATTTGTGTTTCGTATAGTTTGGTATATAATCATTGATATGAATAACTAGGAAAGGTGCCAGAATGTTACAGTAACTGCAAAGAAGATTGTCCGCAGAAGTATTACGGTCAAAAATATGCATAGACAATACCGACTCAATTGTTGCAGGGAGGGAGTTCAATGCAGGGGCGTATCCAGCTCAAAACGCAAGAGCCTGTGTAATGTTACTATACCCCATTCGTAGTCCATTTACGCCCAGACAAAACACAACATGCCCCAAAGCGAGATTGTACAGGTCCGTATTTTTCTCAATGGTTTTGGAATAATCTAACGCAATAAATAATTATTTTTATAGAAAGAACTGCACATACTTTTCACAATTCGTTGATCGCTGGAAGTACTTGCATCATCGTCCGAACGGTTAATATTAATTATTACAGGTTCAATTTGAATATCGATCATATTGTCCAGATCCCATATCTTTGTTTCGATTCTCTTGAACGTGACGGATGCAATCTTTCTAATGGTTTGCCGTCATTCTGTTGACAGCTTCATAAAACAAATTTTCCACGTCAGAAAATGTGAATGTTCTACTGTTTGAAGCCACATAGTTTTTAATATTTGCCCAAATCATTTCAACGGGATTTCTTTGCAGTGATAAGGGGGTAGCCTTAACCCGGTCCTATTTTGGTTTTTAGCCATTTCGTTAATGATATTAAGATTATATTTATATTTGTGCTGCCTGACTAGATACATAAGTTCTACTTTGACCATATTTTCATTGAAACTAATGTCTTTTGAATTTCTGCCTTTTTGTGGACATTGTGGGACTTTTTCTAGTTTTCTAGTGTGGTATGCAGCATTATCAAGTACAATGACGGCATTGACGTCAAGCTTTGGGAGCGTTTCTTCAGACCACCGTTCAAATGAACTCCCGACCATTTCTTCATGGTAGTCGGTCGTTTTCTTTGACTCAAATGCCCATAGGGCAGTGGGCACAAAACAGTGAGACAGATATCAAATCGTTTTCCTTTTTCGGGAAATAATTATTTCATATAGTGTTCAACAGAACTAATAATAATACAAGCAGAGTATCTAACAGCTGTTGGTTCCAAATCTACCAGATATAGCTAAGTTTAGTGAAGCCAAGTTTTAAGCGTGCGTTCATAGATTCAGTCTACTTGGTTAGATGCACGTACCTGACGGACTCTTTAGGCCAGTGGTTAGTCCATCTAAGAAAGCTTGTCTTGCTGATTTAAATGTAGAGTCAGCCCATACTTTTTTGGATGTCCTGCATTTATCCAGGTTTCATCCAAGTAATAAATCTTCCTGCCCCGGTTGCGGTGTTTCTTTATTGATTTTAAATAATTTCTTCTCCATAAAATAATCTCTTGGTCTCTTGGCTGTCCATCAAAATACTATTTTTGCCCCGTTTTCTATACTCAAAATGAAGCTTCGTGTTATGCAGCCTCTTGTATGGAGGAGACATTTTTTGTTTTTTATATTCTTTAACAATGTTGAAAATTGGCTTGGGACATCAGCCTGTTTTGTTCGCTATACGTCTTTCATGAATTTTCATTTCATAAACGTTAAGGACAATTTCTTTTGCCTGAATATTCAAATGTCCCTTCTTGTCACGTTTTCGGGGAGGAGACATCACTGAAGAGGAAGCATGGCTGAACGAAGCATTGGGAGAAATATTCTCAGTTTCATCTGCTGTATTCGTACACGACATGCTAACGTATGTTATAAATACACGCCATGTATGCACCGAATATGAACAGCAACCGCCGGCGTCGGCGTGCGGGCGATACCCCGAGCCTGAGTTCTATTCTGTCGAATACTGCACTTGTTCGTAGTTTTATAGCCGAATGACCAATAGCTATTGCAACGCTTAGGCGGCTGCTGCTTTGCCGCGGTGCATCTTTATTGTGCGGGGGCGAAAATGAACTATGAATAGGGTATTATAACCAAAAATCTACTCCCCCAAAATTGTTTATCTTTTTTTTCGTTTCTGATGATTTTGAACGCAATCAAAAATTTTCGTAGACAAGACAAAATTCAATAAGAAGTCAAACTTTGTAGATATGTTTCAAGACGTAGTCAAGAGATTATTTGAAGGATTCACAGATTATAAAATCCCGCTAAACTCGTATCTATAAACGACACAGAACTTATTTGGTCACGCTAACTAGCTAAATGTGAACCCTGTTGCAAAATATATTGTACAGAAGAATTGATAGGGTGTTTTCGAAGTTGGGTCATTGATTTTAACAGCTTGTAGAACTCGTCAAAAGAAGTTGACATACCAAAAATCATCTATATAAAAGATTGAGTTTACATTATTAAGTTATTATGTTCATAATTGTTCCCATTTGTTCGATTAACGCAAAATCTTGCTGGGCGAATCCACGACTCTTTACAAGCTTCGAAAATAAAATCCTGGTGTCAACGAATTAAATGACAAGCATTTTCAGTGCGCTGTTGAAGTTCTTCCATAGTATACTAAGTGACATATAAATCCGAACACCCAGTTTAAATGGTTTTATTTTAATAAAATTTTGTATAAGTACTTAATGAAGCATAATAAGCAAATGATAAAAATTTCAAAATGATTACACTGCTTTAAAGCCCTTTGACCTTTAATAATGTGTGGATGCACCCTGATGTGCTACATGTGTGCTACGCATTCTCTAACGCGCCTAGGCATGCTTCTGATCAGGTGGTCAATGTCCTCCTGTGGTATCTCATTCCAGGCAACCACCAACTCCTCTCGAAGTGCTTCTAGAGTCTGAGGAGGACGTTGCAAATTGAGCAATCTCCTACCCATCATATCCCACACGTGCTCAATTGGAGGTAAGTCGGGAGATCTTGGTGGCCATGGTAACAATGTGACATCATTATGTTGAAAGAAGTCTATCCTGACTCTTGCAACATGTGGTCGGGCATTATCTTGTTGGAAAGTTGGATCTGCCAGGGTGTCAAGATAGGGTAAAAGATGGGGTTCTAGAACTTCGTGGATATAACGCTGCGCGTTCATGTTACCTCTGATGAAGATTAAAGGTGACCTGGAACCATAAGCTATAGCACCCCAAACCATAACTCCAACAGTGTGATGAACATGTCTTTCAACAAAAAACTGTAGATTCCTCCTTTCACCACGTCGCCTTCTAACCCTGGCACGACCATCGTGCATGCCTAAACAAAATCGAGACTCGTCACTAAAGACAATACTGTTCCATTCCTGATCTCAGAGTGACCGTTGTCTGCACCACTCAAGGCGATTACGTCGGTGTTCTCGAGTTAAAGGGAGGACCCAGTGTGGCCGGTATGAAAACAAGCCAAAACTTCTCATTCGCCGGTAAACACTTCGCATGCCAATAGGTCTTCCGTGTTCTGCAAACCATTCATTTGCAATGGACCTGGTAGTGGAGAAACGGTCCCTTAAGGCTAATAAAATAATCTTAGGCGGCGATCTTCACGGTCTGTTGTTCTACGGCGGCGTCCAGTGTCCCTTGCTCTTTGCGTACGGCCTTCTCGAAGCCATGTCTGACAACACCTAACCATAGAGTCTACACTTCTTTGCACTCTAACTGCAATTGCCCGAAAAGAAAGTCCAGCATCCCGAAGTCCCACTATACGGCCCCTATCAAACTCACTAAGTTGACGAAATCGTACGGGTCTCCGTACTCTAGGCATCGTAACCGATCGTAAAGGATGTCAAGAGCCAAAATCCGCCAACGTTGATTCTTTACTGCGGCTGAAATATTCATTTTTAGAGCGTTAGTGAATTAAAAAAAAGCAGTATAAAAACCGAAATGGCCAACTGATAAGGCTGAAAATTTTTTCACTTGTTATTTACAGTAAGATAAATACATTCACCAACTTTTATTAAAATAAAACCATTTAAACTGGGTGTTCAGATTTATATGTCACTTAGTATATTTACTTCTCGATCGTGATACATCAACCCTTTCAAATAGCCCCACTGAAACAAATCGCAAGGCGTTAAATCCGGGGAGCGAGCAGGCCAAGAAATGGGCCCTATCCATCTATTCGAAAACTCATTATTTAGATGTTCATGAACTTCTCGTCTAAAATGTGGTGGAGCTCCATCATGTAAGAATCACATATTCTGTCTCACATTTAGAGGAACTTCTTCTAATAATTGTGGCAGATTGTGTTAAAGAAATCTGAATAAATTTCACCGATCAGTCGAGGGTCAAATAAGCATGCCATTTACCAAGCCAGCCCAAACACTTAATGAAAATCTATGCTTAAAATGAGTTCTTTTTATACAGCATGCGGATTTTATTATAAACATGATTGTTGTGGAAATTGTGCACTCCAATTCGTGTAAATGTTGCCTCATGCGTACACAAAACTAATTTCGTAAAATCTTCATTTCTTCCGAACTGTTCTAAAAGCCACTGACAACATGAAACTCTTCAAGGATGATCATCAGGTTGTAACGCTTGTACCCGTTGATAATGATCAGGATAATACTGTTGTTGTCGTATTGTCTTCCATACTTTACTATGAGAAACTTCAGCTTGACCCATTGTAGGGTCGTCTTCGACCATTTCTGAAATGTCTTCCTAAATTTCATTTCAGGTTAAGATAGTCTTCCAGCGTGACCTCCTCGTTTTTTTTTTGAATATCCTGTGTCACGAAGTCTTATAACTAAATTTACGAACATTCGTGGGGCCGGATGATTTCTGAAAGGAAACCTTTCCGCATACAACTTGCATGCTGCGGCTGCATTTTGTTGGCACTCTGCTTATGTTAGTATTATGTCCACTAGTCATCAGACAAATAAAGGTATACGCACTATTAAAAGACTGATACAACTGATCGAACCAAAGACTTGTACTGAAAACCATACAATAACACAAAAGATTTGCCAAATTCAGATAAACGTTATGAGTTGTAAACAAAAAACGCTAAGATTTTACACGGCAGTGGTCGAGAATATAAAAAAAATCTGTGTAATAACATTCTTATTTTTTTAAATTTTTAATCTTTTACTATTTCTTTGAGTATGCAACTTTTATATAGGTGATTTTTGGTATATCAACTCCTTTTGACGAGCCCTACAAGCAGTTAAAGTAAATTACTCAACTTTGAAAAGGGTACAAATTTTCCCAAAATCGTTTTTAATTTTTTCTGAAGCCTCAAAATTATCATATAGTCATTTATTTCATAGAATATAAAAGATGATACACATGTTACGCATTGACATAAAACTTCAAGTGCTTAACTTTATCTTGTTGGTTTAAACTCCTCGATTCAGGGACAACATAATGTAGTATATAGTCACACTACACAGGGTGTCCGGTAAATAGTACGACAAAAAAAATAGGGAAGATAGGCGAAAGATCTACAACGTACCTAAAAAACACCCTAGTAAAAGTTTCACTTTTTTTGAGATATTAATGTTTTGTTATCTTTTTCGAAAAATATCCTCGTTTGATCCATGCTTTATACTGATTAAGAAGATAATTTATCGCAGTACTTTGCAGTAGCAATCTAGGACATTTTTATTTCATTGTTGAATATCAACGTTGAGTAAAATAGTTTTCTAAAATAAAAATTACGAAGAAGAAATTAGTTTGTCAAGTTTACTTACTTGTATTTATCGAAAATGATATTTCAAAGTGCAAACCAACTATCTTAGAATATTTTGCAAGAAAAAACAAATAGATATCCTGTTATTTCTAGGCACAGCAACAAAAGATAGATTAAAAAAGAGAGACAAAAAATTAATATCTCAAAAACAGTAAAACTTTTACTAGGGTGATTTTTTGGTATGTTGTAGATCTGCCGTTTGCCTATCCTCCCTATTTTTTGTCGTACTATTTACCGGACACCCTGTAGAGCTTATGATAATATAAAATTTGGATATAAAATATACTTTTTTTGTGAAATACCGTAGTATATAGTTAAATCTGACAGACGTAATCTATCATCAGCATCCATCAGAGCAGTTTGGTGCAACTGGTAGCCTATATTCAGCTTTTTGCTTCTCTGAGACTGCGCTGTAATTCTTGTAATTCTTTTATAGTTCATTTTACATTTCTCGAAAAAAGGATGAGATATTGAGATGGGTTTCGTATATTCAAATGTTTTATTAATGGTCACATGTACAAAATTGTTTTCTGATGCACTTACATCAGTGGTGCTTGTGTCGAGAAACAGCACGCCACTGGTTTTTGCAATTAACTAGTACCAGTATTAGTAGCCAGACTTTTCCAACTTTCTTCGAATATCCCGATTCGTAATCGTCTCGTTGGACCAAAAAGAAATTTCAAATATTCTCCCTGCTGAATTCGTTAAAAGCACAATAAAACAATTTCATGCGTTTGTTATAGGAATAGAAAAATAATCAAACGTTTATCTACGTTTCTATAATTATGATTTAAGGTTAAAACGTGTATATGGGTAATTTTCGCAATCCGATCATTGTAATACATCCGGTATACCGGTTATTGATTTTACCTGGTCTCAATATGATGAATATTTCAAACGTGATAGCCGGAAAATTCATATCGGTTATTCAGACCTGACAATTATATGCCGTAAAAAGGATGAAAGTAACTATATCAACATTTGCAAAGTGCCTTATTCAGTTGAAAAAGCACGTGTTTAAATTTGTACGTCATTTAAAAATCGCCACTGCAAGCTGAACAAGTAAAATTAGAGGTACGTATTCCTTAGAATTGAAATATTTTTCACTTAGATTGTTCTATCAGTAGCGGTACAGTTTTACATACGATCTTTTCTTCAAACTTTGAGTGGTGCTTTTTAAGCTATAGAGAGAAGTACCACTCGGAGTTTTGTCGAAATCCGAGTGGTACTTCCGCAGTTATATAGTACTTGATCGAACTTCATGAGATGACTTCTAAAAAATGTTCACATAAAAATGAGTCTATTAATTCGTTTTTCCGAAAAATCGTAGTGACCCTTTGCCGTTTTTGTTTTAAATCCATCTAGGTCGCCGGATTTACTATATCCGTTTTGAGGTTAGGGTTTTATTGAAGCACTTTCTCATTCATTTCAGTCTAAATTTTCAGCGATGCGTCTGTATCTATTGAATTAGAAGACATTTTAACAAAATCGACTGAAAAGTTATTAAGACAAACCGCATTAACGTACGTTTAACACTGAACTTTGATACAACCCCATTAACACCTTTTACCTGTATGCTTGAGTTTTGGAATGCATTACATTATAAAGGGTGCTCTATAGTAAGATGTCAATCTATCGGGAGCATGTAGAACACAAAAAAGAGATAATCTTATTCTGCTCTGAACAGCATCGAGCATGGATAATGTAGATAATAATAGAACAGTACTTCTTAGCCCTAAACACATAGCCCAGCTGCCACGGTTGACGAGATGTGTTCGTGCGAGATCATGTTCCCGGTGATCTAGACTCAGACTAGCCAAAATGAACGGCTCTTTGATAGAACTCCGCCATCCATCGAAACTGGATGAGCGCTAGGACCCTTCTTGTTCGCCAAGGCAGTGATAACCTCTTGTCAGAAAGAAAGTCGCTGATACCTTTTTTTTTCTCCAGCTCACCGGCAGAGGTCGGCTTGTCACTCTCATTCCTCTTTGTAGTGCTGTCATCGGCAACGCTGTGAATTGGATTGATCGTGAAGGAAATGAGGTCGTTGATATGTAAGAGGAACAATGTCGGAACCAAACCACATTCCTTGGGAACTCCCGCGTTGACGCTGTATGATGAAGAGGAGAACCCGTCAATCACGACGGATATCTTGCGGCAGAGGGGAAGCCAGCGTTATTATTATATACCTGACGAGGAAATGGCGAACGATGGGGTAGACCGGGCTCCTTGGGCCGCGGAGAAGGCAGCCGATCTAGGTACGCTGACCCGAACAAGTCAGCAGGACCTCAACGGGCCACTTTAGGTCTATTTAACATCATTAACACGCAAAAAGAAGGTGGTAGACCAGGACCAGTCGAAAGAGGCGGTACCACCCGTTAGCTTTTCCTAGGGTGTCTTATAAATGTCCGCATGTTTCCACATCTAAGCTACGCAGTCAGTTATCTTCCCCAACAAAGAAATTAATGACGATGGGTCCCTCGAGTACTTAGAATTCTGGACGTAAGCTCACTCCACTCTCGAAATGTCCGGGTGGAGGGTGGACTCGGGGAACAACATCGAAGATAAAGTTTGTTTCACGAACATCTGCGGGATTAACACTACTTGCAATCCAATTGTCCCGCCATGCTTTTCTTGGCGGGGACATAAATTTCCTGCCCCAGAGACGCTGCTTTGGAGTCAGATCGGAAAGACATTCTGTGGCTTCGCCTCAATCCCAAAAAATCCCCCAAATTTATTTACTTGAATACCTCGCCGTCAAGATCGACTTCCTGAACATCAATCACCCCGCTTCAGAAGTTCGATCTTACTTAGGGGCTGACCCAGCTGGTGACGAGCTCTACTTTTTCCCCCGATTCTCGTCACATGCCAGTAGCTTGGTGGATCTCTTTCTGACTACGCATCCTGTCCCCTACAGCACTGCTGTCCTGTCCTTACTGAGCAACTCAGACCCATGGTACTGTGGAGGTTAGGTTTCGGTCAGAACTCCCTGTGGCAGCAGAAACTCGCCCAGGCCGCAAAATTTGGCATTACGGACATGCCGACTGGGAGGGGCTCGGAGACTTCTTCTCTACCTTTCCTTGGAGAGATGTTTGTTTCGCTGACGCGGATGTGTTGGCTGTCTGTTCTTCGATAACCGAAATTATCCACGTCGGGATGGAGGAATACATCCCTCATAAGGTGAAAGTGCCTAAACCAGGGTCCAACGGCTGGTTCAACAAATCGTGTGACGCGGCTCGCCAGCAGAAGATCACGGCACACAGAATCTCCTTACAAAACCCCACTGCAGGGAACACAAGCCGACATCGAGTTCAGAAACAAATATAACGAAGCTGTTCGCAATGCCAAAGACCAGCACGATATACAAGTTAGGCACAGGGTAATGTCGCAGCGCAATGGACTCTTTGGTCTTTTTACACACAGTAGCCTTCCACCACTTACGTGTCAGGATGGAACGATTGAAACAGACCCAAAGGCCAAGGCGGAAGTGCTTGCCAATATCTTTGCTGCCAACTCCACCATGGACGTCCCCCCAACGCCCAAGCGTCGTCGATTCAAAGGGTTACCTACACTATGCGGGAAGTAACATTCAGGCATAAGACTGTCAAACGGGTGCTCTTGTCGTTCGACATCAACAAAGCTCCTGGTCCGGACCTGATTCCTCTCATTGTACTGAAGAGGTGTGCATCGGAGCTTGCTCCAGTTCTTTCGCGTCTCTTCCAGATATGAATCTGGCACCCTCGCAGAAAACTGGAAACTTGCTCATGTCCAGCCCATCCCAAAAAAAGGATCGAAAAAAGAAGACTAGCGACGACTTCTTCTCTGACGTAGTGTCGGACAGTGTCATTTTACGTAGAGAAAGCAACACTCCAACTGGTACCGCTACATGAGAAATATTTATAGATACATATACTCTCTCTGACAAGAGACCTGGAGGCTATCACTGCTTGGGGCCGCAACAACAGTTCAGTGCTTCAAAAAGACAGTACTGTACCTTGACGAACAAAAACCGTCTAGCGCTTATCCCGAATTCGATGGATGGCCGAGTTCTGCCAAAAATCCGTTTACTTCGACTGGTCGGAGTTCAGATCATCGAAAACTTGATCTTGCGCAAACACATCTCATTAATAGCGGCAGCTGCTGGGAAAAGGCTTGGCTATTTGTTTAGTGCTAAAAGTGCTTTTCTCCGCATGACCTTCTCACTCTATACAAGAGAAGAAATGCTCACCCGTTTGGGATGCTGCGGCCCCGACTACATTATTTATGCTCGATGCTGCCCAGAGTAGGGCTGTCCGACTGATCGACAACTCTTCTCTAACAGACAGTCTTGGAACCCTTTCGCACCGGCGGGCCGTCGGCGATCTGCCAGTCAAACCCGCCTGACTTTGGTCACCCATCCTAACCATGTCGAACTTCGTACATCCAGAACTGGCCGATACGACCGATCCTTTATCCCGAGAGTGTCGAGATTGTGGAACAATCTAGAAGAGGAAGCTTTTCCCAGTTCTACCAAATTTTAGGCAGTTCAAAAATCGGATCAACAAAATTTCTTTGGGATCCTCATAGCAGCCACGGTGGACACCGTGGACACCGCCTAAAGGCTTCTGCCTGCGCGTCTGCTTCGGTATAAAAAAAGCCACCATCTGCAAAGCGTCTCTCGAAGGCTATAGAATGGAAGTTTGCATAAGAGAATAGCATGCCTCAACTGATCGAACGCCTCCATGATATCAAGAGCAACGACATGAACCTCACCATAAGCCTGAGTTAGTTTACTCCACAGTACCGCAGTTGCATGACGTAAGCTAGGAGGTCCACTGTGGATCGCTGGTGCTGGAAATCATCCTGCCAGTCGCTAATCAAGCCGTGACGTTGGAGGTACTCCAGAAGCTTCCGATCTATGCAAGCTCCTATAAAAAAATTTCCTACGGAGGTTTAGGCCTGTAAATGACACTACTGAAGAACGGCGCTGTGTAATTCAAAGAACTTTTGACAGCTCTGAAACCGGTTATGTACCTCAGAGACAGACTTTTAGCTAAAATGAGTTTTACATGTTAAGTTTTAAATATTTGAAACGTAATCATCTCAAAACTACTTAGACTGGGTCTGGCGCTGAGTTACAGAATTGAGGCCTTACTTCGTGGTGTTCATGAAAAACATTTAACTCATTGTGATCGCTAGGGGATTGAGAGTATTTTTGTCACCCTGTATAATAATGGTTCGAACATATTTATTGAGAACTTGATGTTTTAACTTTATTATTTTACACTGAAAAGGTATAAGCTTGTGCTTTTCTGGTCACTTATTACAAATCTGTTTTTTCTCAAAATCAAACAAGAGTAAATTTTCTCAACTTGGAGATTAAGCTTTTCAAAAATGTTATCTCTGATCCTTTATCTTAAATGGTGGAAATATATGTATTGCATTGGAACTAGTTCGTCCCTAGCGATCTAAACGGGGTTGCTAAGTTGTCAAAGTTTTGGAATTATACAGAGCGTTCCATTTAAAAAAACCGATGTCCAGTAACATCTCTTAGATTTAGATTTATATCCAAATCGGAGGTTCGCAGGACATTTTTTGTAGAAACTTGTGGAATTATTTTTGTGATCTATGTGCAAGCGAGAGGTTGACACGCTATTCTGGGGCACCCTGTATACCAGCATCTTTTGGACACCCATTATTTCATCATTTGGTTCTTGGATAATTTGATGGAAACACACACTTAGGTAGATAATTTTTTGAATTTGGTTCCAGGTAATCAAATATGTTCGGCAATTTATGGAGTCAGCTTAGTTTAAAAAATTTTCTTGCAAAGCACGACAATCCCTATGTGTTCATCTCATCACAGGTAAGTGATTTTTTTGTATAGACAAGTGTAGCGCATTCTTTCAGGGCCGTATCGTCAGTCGTTCCTACAATTGTAGGGCGCGTTTATGGCCTCCTTGATTTTCATAGCCTTTTCTCTCCTTCAGAAAGGCTGAGGTATTTGTAGATTTCTACTGTTCTGTGTCAGCGTCAGCGCTCTCTTATTTTGAAGCTATGATTTCTTTCTGAATTGTAGGAAATTTCAGGCTGATAAAACAGACAAGATAAATCAAAAGAATGAACAATTTGATGCAAATAGATATTTGGGACATAACCTCAAAGTAGAGCACTGATACGGAACAGTGAACCCTATGTCACGAGTATCCATCACGCTTTGAGGTGAACAGCTGATCAAAAAGTGACATTTTTGTGTTAGTCTGCGACGTTGGCAATAATGAATCGGATGTAAATCTAGTAAAACTTGTTTGTAGCGTTTTGTTTTTTGTATGCAAATGAACTTGTCTAAATAAAAGAGCTTTTGCAAGTATAAAATGAATCTGTAGCGTACAAAAAACAGAACAAATTATAGCTCCATCTACCTGGCATTGACGGATCCGTCAGAATTATGCATGTGTCCTTTGCCGATATGGGGAATTTTGAAATATGACTAGGTAATCATCTGTCATTCTACCGTAATGGATACTCGTGAAAAGGACTATAGAAAACTATGAAAATCGAGGAAGCCATAAAGGCGTCCTGCAATTGCAGGAACGACTGGTGATACGGTTATAAATGTGCTCCAGCTCGTTAGCTGTAGGAATTCAGAAATTGGTCCCCTTATTAAATATTTATTCATATGCTTTATAATATTACGAAGTGCGACCATTTCATGAAATTGGCACTTTTACGATATGGCCACGACATGTCTAACTGCACTGTACAAAATACCATTCGAATAAAACCATTTCTACCGCATGTCCTGTTTTGTTTGTTACTGAATATATTTTTTATCTTTTTCAGTGGCAAAATGACAAATCAGTCCCAAATGGAAAATATCTCATCTATCGCATAACAGTGACAATTTATTTATTCCTCACATGGCTGTTGTCCATTGTCTTGGATAATGTGGTTGATAAATGGCCGATATACTTAACAAATTGGGGCTATACAACATGTACATTACAGTCTTTGTTAGCATCACTCATGCTATTAGGAAGCTATGTATCGATGAGAAGAGGAAAGGGTGAACTTATAAAAACATTTTGGAAGGCATATCCTGTGTATTGGATATTAAATACTATTGCTACGCCTACTGCATTCGGCATTACTACGATATATTGGTCTATTATCTATGACCGTAAGTTACCATATGGAAAATCTGGAGGGTTTTGAAAAACTTGTAAATGATGACGCACACATTGCATGGGATTTTCGAGTTAAATTTAAAATCTTGTACAGTTTCGCATTCGTAGTTGGCCATCCTGTACATAGGTTGATCCCTATGCTCCGTCCCTGACCTTATTCGATGAACATTGTGAACAGCAAAAATTTGTACACAGTGGTCCATTTATATCAAATATCATCAGCCAGAAGCAAATCCCATGTATCGTGTGTCATCTTTTTAATAGAAAATGAAAAAATGTTTTTTTTTTGTTTTTCAGCGAAAAAGATGAACTTTACTGCAATAAACTTCTTCGTTCATGGAAGTAACTCCCTCGTTATGTTCTTCGATGTATGGATAGTGTGCCATCCCATCAAGTTGTTACATTTTATTTATCCAATAATCTTCGGTGTTTTTTATGTTAGCTTCAGTGCTGTGTACTTTGTTGCTGGGGGAACAGCCAGGTAATCTTTTACCTTTCATATACAGAGTGATTTTAATAAGCTGCTCTAGTGGAAAAATATTGTTTTTGTAAATTCTGTATCAATGTCGGTATATTTATAAAATCAACAACAATCTGTCAACCATGTGATGATATAGCGAAAATACTTATAAGCTAGGGATAGACCATTGAACATATCCCACCGTTTGTCGTTTGTTTGAATAAGAGCAGACTACCAAGTTTGAAAAATATAAACCTAATAATTGACGTATCCAAATGAGACCTTTCCTCAATCTAGATTAAGTGGGTATCTAGCCTTGATTTTCTTGAGCCCATTGTCAAGATTCTAGGTATTTGCCACCGCCTTGGAGAATGATTTGAGCGAGGTCCGGGAAAAGTATAGTTTCATTTCACAATTATACGTAGGGCGTAATAGCGAAACATCTTCACGACGCCAATGACGATCACATCTAGGCCCAATATCCGAATCTAGAATTGTCGCCAAGCAACTACGCATAATTGACCTGAACAAAAAAAGACCTGTCAACGATGACAGTTGAAATGCATCACCGGTGCAGTTTTGCAGAATTCGTTAGATTCAACCAGAAAATCGGTAGGAGGAAAAAAGGGGCCTTCGCAAGATCAGCAGTAGATCATCCTCGAAACTCCTTTCTCTATTCTTTTTTATAAGATGTAAATATTTTCTGTTTTACTCCAAAACTTGAAACCTGATCACCTGACATTTTAATCTAACATTTAATTATAAAAACATAACAGTTTTGGTTTATTTATTCCAGTGATGAGGTAATGACGGTGATCGACCAATCTGTATTGTATTTTTCACGAGTATCCATTACGTTTTGACGTCTACAGCTGATCACAAAAGTGACATCTTTGTATTAGTCTGTAATGTTGGCCATAACGAATTGAGTGTAGCCATTTTAGTTGTAGCGTGTTTCTATATGCAACGGAAATTTTTTAAATGAAACAGTTATTAGCAAGTTCAAAAAAAATTGTAGCGTACAAACAACAACAACAAAATACGGATTTGTCTACCTGGCGTTGATGGTTCCACCAGGATTATGTGTCACTTGTCGATATGGGAATTTTTGGAAATGTTACTAGATAATCAGCTGTTATTCTACCGTAATGAATACTCGTGAAAAATACCATACCTCTTGAACGGAGAAAAACCAATACAGGGAATGCGTACATAATTATAGGCAACCGAAATCTACGTCCCTCGTGTGCCCGACTGCCTAAGTGTACGCATATGAATGATTGATATGGGCCATAAAATTACTTTACATGTACTGCTACATAGAATTCATTTCTTCAGCTTTATTTTTGATTGTTGCTCGTTTTCGGTAAAAAAATCTGAAAATGTCTAAATGGTCTTTTGGTCATTATACCATGCTACGATTCTGTAAAAAAAATTTTTTTTTTCTGCTTTAAATGTTATCTTCAATGTATTTTTGTTGTATTTGCATGTACTTGATTTTTTTTTTTTTTTTTTTTTTTAGCCCTGGTTGGTTCTGAAAAACAGCTTGTGCTGATGTAACCCGCCAGGTAAAATAAAGGCCATTTATTATTATTATTATTATTATTATTAAATGTTTAAAAAAATCGTGGAAAATGAGGGGCCTTCGCTATTTTGGTAAATAAGGTCTCATTTCGGTCGAAATAGCATAAAATCGGTAGGATCGGCAATACTGCGCCGGTGGGCGTCAACTCCTTAAGATGCTGGGGGCACGTGTCAGCCGAGTGTGTGGGCGGGATTATGAGTGCTTAGACGTGCACCTCCTTCGACGTATTGTAATTGCACTTATCTGACCTATTGCCTTACCGGTGTGTGTTGCAGACATTGCATTGTACCCATTGTGTCTACTATTTACCTGTAACCCGTACGTAATTATACTTAGCCGATTGTTTCCTGCTACCATTCTCAAAAGCAAACAAAACAAGGCCTACATATTTTTGCTTTTAGGGGTGGAACCAAGTACATCTACAAATTCGTAGACTGGGAACATCCGTTTTCAACAATATTAACATGCTTGGGAATTACGTGTTTCCTTTTGCTGTTACATCTGTTATCGTACGGCCTCTCCCAGGCAAGGATGAAATTGCATGAGACATGCTGCGTCAAGAAACATGACGTTTCTACTCGAGACCAAAGGAAAAGAGATGCTGCCTACGTGAATGATGTATTTTGTTAATCTGTTGTTAATACTTATTTCAAGTTTTGTTCATTAATTAAAATATACGTTTTATTTTTTCTTAGAGAAGTGCGAGTTATTGTGGGTAAATTTATGGGGCAGCTCTAACATTCTGGAAGTTGGAATTAATCGATTTTTAAGCAAACATCTAGCCTATTCTCTTATCATTATGTAACTTCTGCAGCTGTAAGTTGTACAAGTTTTCTGGATCAATCAAGAATCAAGGTGCATCCATGATTCAGGCAAAACTTTCAAAGCCAATGACGTGTCCGTGTTGCCATTGATTGGATCAATGGTGTCGCATAGTACACGACTACCTTAACGATCCTTACGTCACAACGCTTATTACGTCAATGTCCTTACCCAACCCATAATTCAAATTGGTCACACCTTGCTCGCTTGTTGGTTCTGCGTTAAATTTTAGGTTGGGTTTACATGAATCCAGCATCAATATCGGCAATAATTGTAAAAAACTTTTTTGAGTATTTTCGTCTATTTCTCATTTTGTTTTTAGACAGCGCCATCTATACGTCAGAGCTCAATCAAGTAACAAAATCTGATTCCTGCTAGCTAGACTGGTGGCATTTAATCTGCAGCTCAGTGGCGTCACTATTTATGTTAATCGGGGTGCCGAATACATTTCATTGTGATGATTGACCATTGAAAAATTGCACATTTTTCTGAATGACGCTTTGGCTGTTCGACACTGCAGAAAGACAAGACACAAAAACTCAATATTGAAAGATGACCCTGTCTGTATGTACTTAGGAGAAGAGCCGAGAGATTTCTATAATTTCTACGTAAATGTATCGCGTTTCGCGCTCTGTGGCTAAAGGTGGAATCGTTAATAGTCTACTGGCTTTCTGGGATAATCACAATGGCGGAATTGTAGTGGGCGCCCCCCCCCCTAGACCTATCCCACCCTTGCTCTTCATTTTTTTGACAAGGGCATTTGCTCTCAGATGCGCTGCTCAAGTGCTATTGTCTTTTTCACGAGTAACAGCTGATTTTCTAATAATATTTTAAGATTCCTCATATCGACAAATGGCATATAATCCTGACGGATCCGTCAAATTTAGGTAAACAGAACCGTATTTTGTTTCGGTTTTTCTATGCTACAGAATCATTTTGTGCTTGCTAACAGTTCTTTCAAATATAAAAGTTAATTTGCATACAAAAAAATGCCACAAGTAAGTTTTACTAGATTTACACCCAATTCATTATTGCTAACGTTACAGACTAATACAAATATGTCACTTGCTGATCAGCTGCACACCTCAGTAGACATCAAAACGTGATCAATACTCGTGAAATAGTGTTTAGGCATGCAGCCGCCATCCCCCTCTGCTATTCAAAATTTATTCGCCGCTAGCCCCCCAGACGAACATCTTTCTAAACATGCTGAGACGACCTCTCTGCGCCCCCCTAGGGAGATTCCTTAGATCCGCAGTCAATTTGCTTAGGTCCTGATAGGGTTCTAAGGTCACCATTATAGTTACTGGTTGCCCATGATTCAGGTTTTTTAGCAACCAATGAAATTATAGCGAACAAATGAATAGCTCAAGTAGTGGGAAAACCAGGTTTTTACGGTAAGGTTCAAAGTTGGCTGACGTCGTAATGTGTATGAGACAGAATAAGCGCGAGAAGCGTGCAAAGTTTATGATAGAAAGAGTACGCCGATGGCAACGTGGCAAGCGGCAGCTACGTCAGTAGCATCATCACTCGGGCAATTGTTTGGCAACGAGGTGCCTTTATCTCTTTCTAACATACGTATTGTTCACTTCTCGCGCTTCTCTCCCGTGCACATTGCGACATCAGTGGTATACAGGGTTATCCAAATTAAGTGTCCACCATTAGTAACTTTGTTATTAGTGAAAATACAAAGTTGTTTGAATTAGCAAACTAGTAGCATTTTTAACGCTGGTAAAAATGAGAAATAAAAAAAAACAATTGAGAGTCGTTATTTTGATTTTTTTCAGTAAAATAACATTTTTTTAAATGGAAACCCCTGTATATTATATTTCTTTCTGTTAAAGCATCAAATTTTAAACAAAAAAGCTTACAATAACTTTTCTCCTAGGTTACAAATTGTTGAAGTTATGGCCTCCAATCTGAAACAATTAAATTGTATCGACAAACTTTATTTTCAACATCAACTTATAATCTTACAAAATACAATAACAATTTTTTTTAAAGAAGATGCTCGAAAACACCACCTTGTTCTTCAATACATTTTTGGACACGTTTTCAACTGCTCGAACTGTCTTAAGTATGGTCCTACCATCTATCTAAAACATTTTCGTTGCCCCTAAATTTTCGATAAAGTCTCAGAAAATATCGTTCATACGGTTGAATGCGAGCGGGATATAATTCACTGTTCTTGCTCTCAAGGAGGATTTTCTGCACATTAAATAGCATTCTAACATATCACACTTTTCTTCATGGGAGAACATTTTTCTTTAAATTAATGACACAATAAAGCTTATAAACAAGTATTTACACTAATGTTTGACATTATTTGATTTTATCATTGTTTTCCAAAGCCTTCTAGTTGCGAGTATGTCCAGTTTAACAATTTGTCGCTTATCTTAATGCTGTCAAATCGCGAACGCCATGTTGTTTTCATAGCAGTCTTAATATTATAATACTGCAAATAATTAAAAATATTTATCGTTATTTTGACTTTATTTTTGACTTTAGCGGAAAAGTCATTATGAACTTTTTTGTTTAAAATTTGATGCTTTAACAGAAAAAAATATAATATACAGGGGTTTCCATTTAAAAAAATGTTATTTTACTGAAAAAATCAAAATAACGACTCTCAATTGTTTTTTTTTATTTCTCATTTTTACCAGCGTTAAAAATGCTACTAGTTTGCTAATTCAAACAACTTTGTATTTTCACTAATAACAAAGTTACTAATGGTGGACACTTAATTTGGATAACCCTGTATATGGATCTTACTGTATAGTCACACGCAGCTTATGAATACGTTCATGTTGCAATGTGGTGTTCTTAAGCATAGCGCAAGAAATGAGAACCTTTATTTTTGTCATAGATTTGGTAGACCAACCTTTCCAAAATTGATTTATAATTAGTGCAGAGCGGATAATTTTTTGAACGCGGGAATTAGTATTAGGTTGGCTCTCTTCAGTTAGAATACGTTGAACAATCCTAATATAGTGATGGCAGTATACTGTAGGGTCATTTTATACTAATTCAATATATCTATATAATATAAAATATACAATTTCATAATAAGATAAGCCTAGCCGAAAAGTTCAATTATTTTAAACTTTAAATTATCAGTGAAAGATATTTTTGCATTTTTGTTTTGTTTCCCTTTTTACGAATAGCAGATACGCCAGTGGACGAAAAATTCAAATAACTACCTACAATATTCAGACAGTCTGTCACAGTTTAGCGGTTGAATCCATTGAACTATTGACACATAGATGGCGCCACCTGCTTGTCGACCTTGTAGCCAGATTGTTTTTCAGCTATGCTACTCTCCCTCAGGGTACCTCCTTACTTTCCCCTTTTTTAGCACAAATTACTTATTGCCACATCATTGCCTGTTTTTATCGAATGTCTTGAAAGCAGTGTTACGGCTCATGATGTTTAGTTATCTGTTTCACATGAAAAACATTTAGTGAATAGCTATTGTTTATGCAGTGAATACTTTTTTGTCCCTAGATGTCCCGAAGAAAATATCCATCTGGCATCGATGTTTGCTGTTGTTTTGTTCTGTCATATTGTGTTGTCATCTTGTGATCTTGTCATTACGCCTACATCCGTTTGTTAGGAGAGGTTGGCGGCTTTGCCCTTTACATTTTTAATTTTTTCATTTTATCTGTGAATGTTTTGTGTATTTTATAGTGTCGGCATTTACCCCGCAATAATTTTCAAGAATGATTTTTGCATTTTAAATTCTAGCTCAAAAAATATGAGTATACGTTTAGATAAGGATGTTGGATATATTAACTTTATGGGAAAAAGACCCAAATGATTAATACTTTATATGGATTTGCAATATTTTTTTTCGTATTTTGGTGTGCTATGTGGTTTATTCACATAATTGCGATATGTTACGGGTAAGTAAAACCAAAACCGGATACCTACAACTCGGAAAAACGTTCACAAACGTAACAAAACCGTTTCATTTCAGTAAATATAGACTGCACAAAAAGGTAAAACCATTACCTTCTGATGAACCTTATCCTGGTGTCTCAATTTTAAAGCCTTTGATGGGGGAAGATCCCCATTTAGTTTCTAATTTAGAGACGTTTTTTACAATGACGTATCCTGAGGTAAGTTTCAATAATTATTTGAATAATTTATAGCAGATACGCCTTCCTCAACATATAAAGCCTTGGGAATACCAATTTCGAGTTATTTGTTACCTTGCATGTTCTGCATGACGTATTACCATATTTTCCTCCTTAGATATCACTATAAATGTTTTAATTATAATCTACTATCTTAGTGAGATATTCATTTAAGATTTTAAGTTCGTTGTGATCTTTATATACAAAAAAAATGTATTGAAGAATTGATCAAAAATATATGATTGCTGTTATGCTTTCAATCTGATACTGTGTATGTTGTATATTAATGGAAAAAGAATAACACAATATCTTCATATTAGGGGAAATTGAAACAAGTGGCAACCATGCAGTAAATTTTATGAAATATTTCAAACCTGAAATGTAATTTCAAAATCATCTCAAATACATTAAAATATTTTTGATTAAATATATTCTGCTTCACAAATGAAACATTTTAAAATAAGGGTTATTAAGGGCACTTAAAAGCAATCCAGCTTTTGTGTCATGGGATATCTTTGTCAGCTTGAGATAAGTTTTTACTTGGTTGTCAGATTTTGATATGATGATTCATCATATGATTCACATGTCACTGGAAATTGCTTTATTCTTAATAACCTTTGGATAGCATTGCATAGTTCAATGTCTCTTTAATAAGATGGTGATTCCTCTGACTTTCCAAAATAATCCTTAAAAAACATTAGACTTGCGTGATTCCTGAGGGGTAGAGTAGCTGTAATAGTTTTATGCTAAAATTTTGTGCTCTATACAATAGACTACAAAAATAATGTCAAACATGTCGACTCTTATGCCATGACATTGAAGAACATACATATACTGTATTGAGAAAAACTGTATTAATTCCTTGCAGTATGAGCTACTTTTTTGTATAGAAGATGAAAAAGATCCAGCAATAGATGTAGTCAATGCTCTCAAAGAGAAATATCCAAAGTTAAAGCAGATCTCTATACTGGGGGTTCCACAGTAGGTACAAACCCAAAAATCAACAATATGAACAAAGCTTATGAAGCAACTAAACATAATTTAATTCTCATATCAGATAGTGGCATAAGGAGTGAGTATATAAAACATTAAATTTCATTTTGTCAGTAGACTGGACTTGACTGCTTTAGCTGTAGTTGTGTTATGTATATATGATTTGAAGCTGGGACTGATGGGGATACCCCAAATTTGATACCAGTGGCATTAATTTCGAATCTCTTATCATTTTAATGGGCCCAAAATTTAGTCGTACAACAATCCGGGGTTTTTTGAATTACATATTCAAACTCGGTGCCTCATATCACCAAATCATTGCTTGTAGCAACCAGAGACAAAAATGAAAATTTTACATCATGTTCTGCTATTTTGTATACAGCTATGAATCACTTTGGTGGTTAGTTTTTCTTATCTAACAGGTCACACCATTATTTAATTATGAATGAAAACAAATTCATATGTTAAAAAGGCAACATTTCACAAATATAAACATTACTACTCCATATTTATGTTTGAACTGATAAAAATGCCGATGCTGTGGAATTAGTCATCCAATCTCTCTTATCACAGTTCTCAAATTATTCATGCATGATTTAGATAATGCTGTGTGCATTTTACCGTATCCATGTGAGTTTTTTAATTATTAAATAGTTTGTTTAGTGGTTGCCATACACGTCTAATAACAATTTATGAGTCGTTAATTGAGATAAATTAAGCTTGCATTTGAATGTGGCATAATTAGAAATATTCACAACTATGCAAGGTCACCTACAGTCAGTCAAAAAAGTATTGGCACACCCTGTTTTTTTTTTACAAATAAATATTTCGGACATAACCTCAAAGTAGAGCGCTGACGCAGTAGAAAACTGTGAAAATCAATGAGGCCATAAAGGCGTCCTATAATTGTAAAAACGACTGACATTACGGCCCTAAATTTATTTAAAAACCAGCACCCAAATAGTTTTTTCTTAGGTGCCACATCCTTATTCTAAAACCCTTTATTTTCTTTAGTTTTTCGTATATGGTCAAGTCTGGTCTACAATCATATTAGCAATTGATAAATATTTCGAAATGTTGATTTTTTAGTGAAGGAGGATACTCTTCTTGATATGGTCAACCATATGACTGACAAAACTGGTATAGTACATCAAATGCCTTTCACATGTGATAGAGATGGCTTTGCAGCAACATTAGAAAAGGTAAAGTCAGCATTGTCATATGCAACTATAAAAAATTCAAGTGATTTTCGGAAAAACATTTGTTGCGGGTGGTGGGAGGAGGGTATATCTCAGTTTTTTGACAGACTCCTGTAGGATGTGAAGAAGTCTTTTAAACCAAACTCATCTATATTGAATTGAAGTTCGTGACTATATGCTTTGTTTCTAAGACTCTAATTTGTATATTTATATATCCTTTAATTTCTTTGGGTAGAAGGCAAAGTATTGCAAAAGTAGACTCTTATAACTTAAACTCTCAAGCTTTCGAAGATCTATGTCTTCATCGTCTGGAGCTGGAAACAATTATTAACAATAGCAACAAATAGCAATTAGGAGAGAAATATTTACTTACTAAGTCGGCGAGATTGTTGCTGAAATTGTTTTTAAAACAACAGTAAAGGGAACACATAGTCGACGAATAAAAAAAATATATATACATATATATATATATATATAAAATAAGAAAATAATGGGCAAAATCCGCAAAAAGAAGGAAAGTGGATTCGAGCAGAAAATAGGATAGGTAACCCGAGCTCCAGCTTTTAAAATCCAGTTCACTAGACTGTCAATGACGCAATTCTATCAATTGCAGCGGAACAAGCGGCTTGTGTTAGTTATGAAACAATGTGGAAATGCATATACTAATATACGAGGGTTATCTCAAAATTATGGTTCCCACATTTTTTTCAGGCACAAGGAATTTTTTATTTGAAAAAACGAATTTACCATTGGAAACGTTGATGCTATCATGGGCAATGGATTCCCAGCCAAATCGCTCGATTCAGTCTTACTCTTTTACAGGGTTTTCCCCCAAGACGATCTTTTATTGCCCGTCTCAGCTCTTTCAGAAGCCTAAGGAATTTCAACCGTCTGTTCCCAGATCGTGATTCGCCGATCTTCGGGCAAGTAACCTCCTCGGATATTGGCGGCCTCCCGCTTCGTTGTTCATCGTGGATGTCCATGCAGCCGTCAAAGGACTCTCTTCACTATTTGAGGACATGTTGCACCTTTATGTTATACACGTTTCCCATATATTTCACATATGGTCTTAAATTATTCAGAACAGTGAGAAGTATCTCTGATGCGGAAATGTTACACAGAAATCTCATAAATCTTACTCGGTGGTGTAATGTAGCATCACGCGTGGCAAATTTACAGCGTTGGGAACCTTATTTTTGAGACAATCCCCTCGTTTTAGGGAGATATAGAAGGGGCCTCGCCGACGTCCATATATAGTCTATCGCCGCCTCTGCGTGGATGTGCTTAGAATCTCGAATAATATACATTGTGTTCCATTCGAAATAAGCAAGTTGAAATCTACTTACGCTACAAACTGAAGCATCGCCATTTTGAATACGTTCGCATCATTTATACCATGACCTTGAATTTGTATTACCGTGTATGCATTTCTATGTGGGCGCCCTTTTGGAACAGCTGAGTCAACTACTTCGATAGTGTGTATCACTTTTTTTATGAAAACATGTTTTTAGATATACTTCGGTACAGCACAGTCGAGAATGTACTTAGCAGCAGATTGCTTAAGAGTGAACTGCCATACAGGAATGTCAACATTGATGAGGAAGGCTGTTTTAGAAGAACAGGGGGGCCTGAAAATATTTGGCTGTTATTTAGCTGAAGATTTTTTATCGCCAAGTCTTTCCTTGAAAAAGGATGGAAAACTGCCATTAGCGGTCAACCAGCATTACAAAATTCTGGTATATATGACGTCACCAGTTTTCAAGCCAGGCTCACTAGGTAAGTTTTTTACTAAATACGACATAACCTGTGGATTTATCAGCATTTCCAAAAAGCTACACTTTAATGTTTCTCGAACTTTATATGGTCAGTATTTAGACGTTTCCATAATTAAATCGGTCATCTCAAAACTCGTTTTTTCCAAAATGGTTTTTTTTTGCTGTAAACGTTTCTTTAATTCACTACAGTAACAGGGGAATACACTATCCACTGACTCGTTTTGCCCGAAAGCGCTTATTCCTACCAAAACCACCGACTCAATCTTTCTCATTTGTATAGCTCAAAAAGTCGCTTACGTTCGCTAAATATTTTAAAAAGCTGTTCGTATATATACTCAGTGACATTAGAAGTGTTACACCTAGAAAAATAATTTCTACAACTTGTTTTTTGGCAACATAATGACTATATTTAAAGCATGCTGTGGCAACAATGTCAACGTTTTATCTTTGCTGTTATTTACCTTTGTTAGAATGTTATCTCTTAGTTTTTGTGAAGAAAGCAGTTTCTGAAAGATGAATAGTACATATATTTTTAGTTATTGCCCTCCCACTTACTAGTGTTAAGCATAACAAAATGCCTCGAGTTCGAAGACGTCCAAATTATCACCATGTTAGCGACTTTGACAGGGGTAGAATTATTGCCTATCGAGATGTTGGTTTGTCGTATCGCGAAATTGGCCGCCGTGTTAATTGTACTGCAATGACGGTAATGGGTGAGTGTCGTGTGTGGATAGAAGAAGGTAGAGGAACACGAAGAAGGCCAGCTGGTCCACCGAGGTTTACCACATAGCATCAAGATAACTAGCTCTACGAGACGGTTTTGCTACTACGCGTCAGATCGCTGACCAATGGTTGGGAGAAGAAGGTAGACCTGTTACCATGTGTGTACACTCTATCGCCGCATTCGAGCCTTTGGAATTTTTTCATACCGTCCACCGTTAGTGCTTTCTCTGACTGCGGACCACTGTCGTCAACGTTTGAACTGGAGCAGAGAACGGCAACACTGGGAGGCAGAATGGCAATTATTATTATCACATTAGTGATCTTCAGCGACGAATCGCGATTCTGTCTAGGTACGAACGATGGTCGTAGAAGGTTACAACGCCGCCATGGAGAACAGCGTGATATTGGATTTGCTGTTGAGAGGCATGTACACAGGACTGTTGGAGTTATGGTTTGGGGGGCTATTGCCTATGCTAGCCGATCACCCCTTCTCTTTGTTCAAGGCACGTTATGTTGATGATGTCCTACTACCACTTCACTTCTAGAGGGCCGTCCACACGTCCATTTTCATACTACTCGTCGTACTACGGAATTTCTTCAAGAAGCAGACGTTAATGTTTTGCCGCGATCACCCCGTTCACCGGATTTAAATCCCATCGAACATGTGTGGAATATGATGGGGAGGAGACTATCCACTTTGCAATTATTTTTTTCTGAGGTAACATTACTAATGTCAGTGAGTATAAGATGTAGTAAGAAAATGTCATTATACCCACCTTTCTTGCAAAGTAAAATTTTTTTGTTGAAAAAATGAATTTTGCTGCCTGTGTGGGTTCTACGATCGATTATCGATTATATTGATGAAAGTTGCAGGAATAAGTCTGTGTACTTTTTCACAATGGCTGATTTATGGTTTGGATCTAAAACAGAAATTAGATTTTTCCGGGGTGTTTGCTTTGCCCGAGATTCTGCGCTAGATGTATTGAAACATGCAAAATCGAAACATATGACTTTCGTCAATATTTGAGTGTAATTTTCGTTAATAAGCAATAATAATATGAATAACATAATAGAAACCATATTTCTTGCTAAAGCAATGACATTCTTCGGAATTTTTCTGTTGTTATTAATAAACTGTGAAGCTTATTTGACATTTAATCCTTAATACATCAAGTCCAAAAAATTCTTTAAATCTGATTTCTTTGTCAATTCAACAGTTTTTCGTCTCCTGAAAAATCAAATTGTGTGACTTACGAGTTTTTTGAAATGATGATTCAATTGTTTTCATTTATGAAATGAAATTAAGCCGATAATAATATGACAGCCAGATGGTTTTGATGTTCTACAAAGTCCACATGAGTATCAGTCTTGTTTTAATTCGGTATTTTACTTATTTAGTAAATTCCTCCAGATACTCATACTATCCTTTTTTTATAAAAAAACATCGACATACTGTGTTGCTGCTAAACATAGAGACTTGCCGGCACCAACGTCACTGAAGTTAGTTTTTGTGCAAGGTAATGCGTAATAATGATTTTGCGTGTACCAAAATTTTTCTCAATATCTCAATCTGTTTTCGGAAAATGTAAGGTAAATCAAAGACTGGCATGTTAAAACGTTACGATTATAAATCACTTAAGAACCTATGTTTATATGAATTTTTTTCTCGACAACATTCTGTAACACCCTGTATAGAATTATGAAAACTAAGAATGTATGGGACAAGCCAAATCAAACTACTTGACTTCGTGACTTCGTCTTTTGTTATGTAATAGATCAATCCTTGAACAATCCGTTTATGTGTTAATTGTGTTTGATTTTTGATAAGGATCTGTAATTATTTTAACAGTCAGGTCATGAGTAGTATGATAATCAACATTATCTACGTTATACATCAAATTGTTTAAATATGTTTTCACTCTAGATTTGGAACGAGGCACACCTCATATCCTGTAGTACCGACACGACATTGACATGTGACACGACTTAGATTTCCAAATCCGCATTATACGAGGGTTGTTTCAAAAATAAGGGTCCCAACGCTGTAACTTTGCTGTGTGTGGTGCCAGGAGAAATCTGGCAACACCGTCTTGTTTGTCGGCTCCCGCACCACCGATCCCAACAAGAAGCTCCTATTGGCGACGCTCTGTACCGGCCTGACAGCCATGCGCAACGGAGCCCTTCATCGCCCTCACTGCCAGGTGCGAAATTCGTGCGGTCATCCGCAAAAACCCATAGAAATTCATCGCCATTTGAGTGAAGGTTATGGGAAACGTGTATAAGCATTCAACATTTTCTCATCACGATCCTAGAACAGGCGGTTGAAATACCTTAGGTTCTCAAAATATGGTCATTTTCGTCAGTACTCTGGCGTCAGTCCTTTGTCTAATATTGCGTCAATTGATTGACGGGCTTCTACGGTACTGATTTTTTTTCTTTAGATCGCTTTTATCTCAACTGCAAGTGTTGGAAAGTATTTCTTTTACTTATTACAGTTAAAACCTCATGAAAAAAAAGAATTTGTATAAAGAATATATATTAAAGAAGAAAAGAAAAGCCGAATTAAAAGCGACTGCATTAAATCAGCTAAAGACAAACTAAAACAAAGGTTCTAATATTTAAAAAAGAAGAAAGGGCAAAGAAAACCTTTGGAGCAACGGGCAACTAGAAAAAATGGAAAAGATCAGGATACAGACAAAAAAGCAACTGCTCAAACAAACTCATAATTTTATACATCAGAATACTCCTCTAAATAGTGAGAACGAAATACAACCAGTTCCTGGAAAAAATAGACCTATTGTTAGCGCAGACCAAAGAGCGAAAGAAGCAGAAAAGGGTAGCGAAAGACAGAGGGAGTAAAGAAGTGAGCAATAAAAAAAAACTTTAAACTCAAAACCAAATACTCATCCCTAAAAATATAGACGAGTTGAAAAGCAGTTAAAGGAAATTTTAAAATCCGTTGAAAAATCGCCAAAAAAAAAAACAATTGAAATGAGTGAAGTTATAACTAAAAAGAAGGAATTAGTGAAAAAGGCGAAGTTATTATAATTCAATTAGAGGAATACTACACTAAAAGAAAAATCACCAGATTGGTGCAAGATCAACATTGGTGCATTGCATTGCTGGAGCTGTTTATTCAATAATTAGTTATTAGTAGTTCGCTTGTGGGGTAGTACAGTGTCGGTACTACGGGGTCGGCAAAAAGGGTCAAAGCTGACCTAGTTCTTAGGCTTCGCCTCACCACTACTTTTACTACTACACTAAAACAAAAAGTCTTTAAGTACAAAGAAACAGTTCAAACAAACTATATCTGGAAATGTAATAGACAAATACAAACTGTGGAAAATACAAAACAGAGCAGTGACTTACAGAAAGACTGGACATAAGCTTGCAAAAGAAAAAATAAAGTGCAACGTTTGGTTTTGGCAATTTTCTTAAGACGATGCAAGCAAGTGCATAATATATTTGCAGGATGTTATGATAAATCTTTGTGAAAAGTTTTTGAATACTGTTCTATTTGTGAACAGTTATTTCCTATTTACTTATTGTTAATAGTTACTATAAGACGTGCAGTTATTAGATTCGAAAATATTTGTTCAAAGTTTTAATAAGTTCCATATATTGTCTATTAAACTGTGTATTTTGTGAGTCCTATGTTACTTTCGTCAGTACCCTGACGGTGAATTTCAGAAAATTCGAAATATCTCAAAATCTACTCATAAAGGTGACTGGCCCTATTTGGAACAATACATTCATTAGATTATCTGTCTTAAATATCCGAATCTGTAGACATTTGACTTGAAAACTATAGTAAACAAAATATCTCTAAAAGTTACCCAATTTTTGTATATTCAACCCTAAGCATTCAATACGAACGACTGAATCGACCGATCTGGCTGGGAAGTCATTGCTCATCCCCCTTATAGCCCTTATATAGCGTTTGCGAAATTGAAGGAGCACCTAGGAGGTCACGTCTGAAAAAATGCGTAGAAATAATGGCGACTATGTAGAAAAATAGCTTAAAGATCAATGTTTCCAATGGTAAATTCGTTTTTTCAAGTAAAACATTCTTGTGCTTGAAAAAATGTGGTAACCTTATTTTTGAGACAACCCTCGTAGATGCTACTATTATAATCTGCATTTTCTCACGTTAAGACAAACATGAGCACTTGATCGCCGACAAACATGAGCACTTGATCGCCGCCTCTATTCGCTTGACGTTGTCCTACCCAGGCATTTATGGCCCGCTGGCCAATAGGAGTGCGCGACGGTTATAAAATTAGGGGACAGACAGACCGACGATAATGAGTGACATGGTTTTTCATGATATACATATCATATAACATCAAAAAAGCATAATATCTCAATTTCGAAATGTTTCGCACTTACAATACGTAAAAGAACTTTAAACTCCTCATTTTGATGAGGCACTTTTCTAAACCTATTCCCACAATTTGCAGGTACTTTTGGGAGTCGTTGACTTCTTCTAGTGCACTGTTCGGTAGACAAAAATGCGAAGACACACTGCGGACAGTCGACAGCTTTTGAAGGGTAGCTAAAATCGTTCCGACGTGTTTTGCCATTCTTTGTTAGAAAAATACGCCCTAATCAATCATAAGCTTTTTTCGATCAATTTTTTGTCATCCCCTACCGGTCGGGAACTCGGAGCAAGCATGTTGGTATTTTTCATTGGCTTGTCTTTTTTTGAATTTACTATGCTTGCTCACCCTGTAACTTGGAAACTGTTGCTGTTGGGACCGTACGCCGTACAGGCTTTTGATTAGTTTGGTATGGAGAGCAACACAGTAAAATTTCAGCTAATTTGACCGGGAATATGCATTAAGGAATGTGTCATCTCATTACTCATATATTTACTTTTCGCGGAGCCTTGCGAGACCATGACCCAAATTAATGCGTACTGCGTACGATGTTTGCTTATATGCCGTGCTCTTATTAACTTTTTCACGAATAAATCGCACTTAGTTTTCAATGTCGAATACTGAAAAGTTGTAGTTTGCTATTTTTAATTTCACCCCAATAGGTAAACAAAATGTTGGTAGAAGAGATGTCAAATATGCGGCCGTTTTCGATCTGAGGCCTAGTCACACCTATGGTTATGGTTAGCATTTTCGCAGGCCTGCGCAATTTAGCTTTTAACCTCATACTTCTTGTTTGTATCTGATAAATCCTTGTAGGATCGGGGTCGATTTGGGAGGTTTTTGGGCCAGAAACTTGGATAAATGCGTTTTAATGTCAACCAACAACAATAAGTTGATTTTACCCTAAACCCCCAGATTTTCCCTCAACCCCTGATATGCAGTTCCATGGTTAAACTTTTTTGACGAGATTTATCGTTTTCGAACTTGCTTAATAAAACACCACGAAAACTTTTGATTAGTTTATCACGTTTTGACTTGTTAGCTCTATCTCTCCAGGTAGGGTTGAAGAGTATATAGTTTTATTCAGGGTGGCCAATATATAACTGACTGATTTAAATTGCGCGCTATTTTTGATACACGCATTTCAGTAGGTGGCGCCATAGTAGTTGTTCAAAGCACATGTGTCCAGTTCATAATGGAGCACTACACGATCCCACAACGCGTCCGTATTGTTAAAACGTTTTACTTAAATAATGCGTCGATTTTTTGCAAACGATTCGGAAGTTACGACAAGATTTCGGTCGAAATAATGTACCCATTGTCAACACCATTCGTCAGTTGGTGCGGAAATTTGAAAAAACAGGTGAAGTTAAACAGTTGCCAAGGTCGGGCCGTGTTCGAACTGTTCGTACTCCGGAAAATATCGATAGAGTTCGTGAAAGTGTAGTGGAGCGCCCTGAGACGTCTACCAGACATCGTTCTCTAGAACTGGATATTCGTCGCACGTCATTATGCGCTATTTTAAAAAAGACTTGCATTTGCGGCCATACAAAATTCAGTTAACCCAAGAATTACAGCTTAGTGACCATGAAAGTCGCCGACAATACAGTCATGCAATATTGCAGCTTAATATCCAAAATAACGATGTTTACCGACAACTGCTAATGAGCGATGAAGCCCACTTCGATATGAACGGATTTGTTAATACATGAGCAGAATTGTCGTATCTGGGAATTAGAGAACCCTCGTGTCATCCATCAACGACCACTACATCCTCGTCGAGTCACAGTTTGGTGCGGTGTTTGGTATGGAGGTTTCATTGGACCTTACGTCTTACTGTCACTGGCGAGCTACCGTGATATGGTGCAAAACTTTCTGGCTCCTCAAATCCCACAATTAAACCTACAAAACATGTGGTTCCAGCAGAACGGAACAACGTGTCACACAGCTAGGGAAACAATGAATATTTTGCGAACAATATGCCCGGGACGTTTAATTTCTCGATTTGGTGATGTCAGCTGGCCACCAATGTCACCGAATTTAACGACTCCTGACTTTTTTATGGGGATTTTCGAAAAATGGGGCTTATACCAACAAACCAAATACTGTAGAGCAGCTGAAGAACAATATTACGGAAGCGATTGAAAATATCCCTCCCGAAACCTACCAAAAAGTGATGAAAAATGAAATCAATAGGGCTCAGCTTTGCACGGCTTTTAGAGGCGGACGTTTATCTGATATTATATTTCATACATAATTTCTAAATTTCAATAAAAGATTAAGATGTAAAAAATGGACGTATTTTATTTCACTTCACAAATATTCAGGATACAAACCAGTCAGTTACATATCGACCTCCCTGTATTTTTCGTATGCGAGTATAGTACATGCTGAATATAACCAGATCTTGGTTATCATCGTTGATCAGGGTATCCTTGGGGTTTTTGGGCTTTTAATTTCGCTTGGGCATTCCCATGTATTGATACCACTTATTTGATTAGGTTTTCCCACTTACTTTTTGACGGCTGTACTAGTTTCTCTGATTCAATTAGGCTTAGATCTACTATAACAGTAGGTGATGCTAAGAAAAATGAAAAAATATGCGTTATAAATATTTTATGGCAGCTTGGCAACATCGCATATCCTTGTTTTTATTTGTAAACTAGAAGTAGTCCAAGAGCCGACCGCAAAGTTATGATACTTGGCTTACGGATATGGAGACTTAAAACTAGTCAAATCTTGTGTGACATCTACTATGTCGGCAATTTTTCTCTTTACCATCAAAATCAAAATACGTAAGATATGACTATACCCTACTTCACGAGTATCCATCACGGTAGAATGACATCTACTTATCTAGTAATACTTCAAAATTCCCCATATCGACACACGACAAATAATTTTGACGGATCCGTCAACGCCAGATAGACAGAGCCGTAGTTTATTTTCGTTTTTGTACGCTACAGATTCATTTTGAACTTGCTAACAGCTCTTTTATTTAGAAAAGTTCATTTGCATGCAAAACACAAAATGCCACAAACAAGTTTTACTATATTTATACCCGTTTCATTATTGCCAACGCTGCAGACTAACACAAAAATGTCACTTGCTGATCAGCTGTTCATCTCAGTAGACGTCAAAGCGTGATGGCTACTCGTGAAATAGGGTTTAGTTTTCATCGTATCATATCCGTACACTGCTGTCAAAAAGTAACGATATCAGATATTACATCTATTCGAAAATAATGATATTGGCCATCTCTAATGTCAAAGCGACCGCATAGAGAATGCGAGAGTTTCAAATCCCACCAACGACGCGATTATTTTCGAAATTAGATTTTTGCACGCTCCAATAGTCGAGCAGAGGCACTAATCTTGTTTATTTTTACAGGTGGGCGAAGTTACGTGTAGCAATGTTACCAATGGTGATAATTTTAGAACCGCTTTCTGAATGTATGGTCATTGGGGCATGCGCTGCATGGTCGGCAAGCTTTTTATTCCACTGGGAACCACTAGCTTTTTACTTAGTCCATATTTTGGTATGGTTTTTAAGTGACTGGATTCTACTATCTATAGTACAAGTGAGTACTTTTGGATTTCACCTATAGTATGTTACCATGAGCACACATCATAAAACCCTGCTATAATACTAGACAAATCATTTACACTTCCTCTGATGCTTGGTTTGTCTAGCATTATTGTAGGATTATATAGAAGTGTTCCGAGTCATCATCAACCAGAGTACAGAAAACAAAAAACTAATAACCTCCTTAAGATATACTTGATGCCCTAAATGAGACATTTTACCTAAAAAGGGATCTATCATTAAATGAAGCCATCAATACTCACACTTTGTCAGATAATGTGTGTTTTAAAATCAGATTAATGTGGTTATTGTAATTTCCTTAATAAATCACGCGTGCCATTTTATTTCCAGTCTAAGTAGTACCTATATTATTTATAAGCTCATGCATACCCGCGAACAAGGCAAGTTGTCTGCGGGTTTTCTCCCATGTTTATTGTTCTGAAATATGTCCTTTCTAGTTATCTGCTTATATACTAAGTGACATATAAATCCGAACACCCAGTTTAAATGGTTTTATTTTGATAAAATTTTGTATAAGTACTTAATGAAGCATAATAAGTAAATGATACAAATTTCAAAATGATTGCACTGCTTTAAAGCCCTTTGACCTTTAATAATGTGTGGATGCACCCTGATGTGCTACGCATTCTCCAACGGGCCTAGGCATGCTTCTGATCAGGTGGTCAATGTCCTCCTGTGGTATCTCATTCCAGGCAACCACCAACTCCTCTCGAAGTGCTTCTAGAGTCTGAGGAGGACGTTGCAAATTGAGCAATCTCCTACCCATCATATCCCACACGTGCTCAATTGGGGATAAGTCGGGAGATCTTGGTGGCCATGGTAACAATGTGACATCATTATGTTGAAAGAAGTCTATTGTGACTCTTGCAACATGTGGTCGGGCATTATCTTGTTGGAAAGTTGGATCTGCCAGGGTGTCAAGATAGGGTAAAAGATGGGGTTCTAGAACTTCGTGGATATAACGCTGCGCGTTCATGTTACCTCTGATGAAGATTAAAGGTGACCTGGAACCATAAGCTATAGCACCCCAAACCATAACTCCAACAGTGTGATGAACATGTCTTTCAACAAAAAACTGTGGATTCCTCCTTTCACCACGTCGCCTTCTAACCCTGGCACGACCATCGTGCATGCCTAAACAAAATCGAGACTCGTCACTAAAGACAATACTGTTCCATTCCTGATCCCAGAGTGACCGTTGTCTGCACCACTCAAGGCGATTACGTCGGTGTTCTCGAGTTAAAGGGAGGACCCAGTGTGGCCGGTATCAAAACAAGCCAAAACTTCTCATTTGTCGGTAAACACTTCGCATGCCAATAGGTCTTCCGTGTTCTGCAAACCATTCATTTGCAATGGACCTGGTAGTGGAGAAACGGTCCCTTAAGGCCAATAATCTTAGGCGGCGATCTTCACGGTCTGTTGTTCTACGGCGGCGTCCAGTGCCCCTTGCTCTTTGCGTACGGCTTTCTCGAAGCCATGCCTGACAATACCTAATCACAGTTCTTTGCACTCTAACTGCAATTGCCCGAAAAGAAAGTCCAGCTTCCCGAAGTCCCACTATACGGCCCCTATCAAACTCACTAAGTTGACGAAATCGTACAGGTCTCCGTACTCTAGGCATCGTAACCGATCGTAAAGGATGTCAAGAACCAAAATCCGCCAATGTTGATTCTTTACTGCGGCTGAAATATTCATTTTAGAGCGTTAGTGAATTAAAAAAAAGCAGTATAAAAACCGGAATGTCCAACTGATAAGGCCGAAAATTTTTTCACTTGTTATTTACAGTAAGATAAATACATTCACCAACTTTTATTAAAATAAAACTAGTTAAACTGGGTGTTCGGATTTATATGTCACTTAGTATAGTTTGGACGATAAACATGTTTATCATCATTATCACCAGTCGGGCGTCGAACCCTTTCATTCGTCTGTGTGGAGACATCCACTGGCGTATTCAGGAGCGGGGAGGCTTTGGGGCTGAAGCCCTTCTCCGAACCTCACAGCTTAATACGTCTTTCCTTTTACAGTGTCCCATTTTAATCGCTCACCAGAAAAAAGTTTCATATAAAAGTTTGACTAACTTTAACAACGACCTTCAAGGTCATGTCAAGGTCAAGTGAATATTTTCTAATGGAACTTTACCTTTACCTTTATTTACCACGGAATTAAAAAGAGGAGCAAATTTAATGCCTGAACATCACCTTGGCCTGACACTTGGCTTCAAGGCGATTTCAAGGTCAAATGAATACATCGTAAACTATTTGATTTAGTGAAAATGTTCGAGAGGTTTGTGGGGATCACCCAGGAGTAACCTTGGTCATGACCTTCAAAGTCGAAAAAATTTGGAAAGGAAAACTCTGATTTTTATACTGGAAATGGAAAAAGTAGAAAACTTTGCACCTGAGTTCGGATGTTTCCTTTGAAATTTTGTCTTGACCTGGAAGGTTATGGTCAAGGTCACCTTTGGGCGACCCTCACAACTATGCTGTCGAACGGTTCTGCTTCATTTGCCCTTGAAGGCGATCGTCATGGTCATGCCCAAGGTGATGTTTGGACTTAAAATCTGCTCCTCTTTTCAGTTCCGATGTGAAAATGGGGCTATTCCAGTTAAAAATATTTACTTGACTTTAAAAAGATCTTAAAGATCAATATAGTCAAGGTCACCATTATTTTACCTTTTAGAAACCATATATCTTCCGTTAGAAACTTTTTCTTGGATGCACAGTTTTCGAAATATCTAGATGAGGAGATTAACTTAAACACTTACTTCGCTGTGTAATGGTAATATACCCTGTATCCGCGTTAAAAGAAGTTATATTGGTAATTGAATGAATATTTTTTTCTTTTTCAGAACGGTACTTTACCTTTCAAAAGATTCGACTTTATCATAGGCTGGTTATTCCGTGAGTGTTCTGGACCATATCTGTTTCTTCTTGCAGTGTTAGATCCTACAATAAAATGGCGTAATCGTGTTTTTAGGCTTTCTTGGGGTGGTATTGCCCAGGAGATCAAACCGAGAATCAAGTGTTAACTTTTTTTACATGTATCGTGCATAACATGAATTGTGATTTTTTTTGTGAATATTTTTACCTTATTTGTCCATACTATATAATAGGATGATTGAATGTTTTGAATATATTTCTTTTGCGTATACGTGCGTTTTATTTTCAACTTCAAATCCTCATCAAGAAACCTAAATTTCCGTGAGGAGGGGGTTAAAAATCCCCCATTTTTTGATGAAAACATTGTTTTGTTAGTTTATTATATCTAATGTTACGTATTGATCTGGCTTCGTTGAAAAGCAAAGCGTCCTCCTCCTCGCATACACTGGGACTTACTGGACGGATTTCAGCAGCTCAAGGTAGTCATTCAAAATGGTGGACTTTGTGGTGGCTACCGATGTACAGCGCCATCTATTGGAGAGTAGCCGCTACCAAAAAAGATACGTTCAGTTGGGCTACCATCCCATAGATGGCGCTTCTTTGTAAAGTGCTATCACAGACCACACAAAATTTAACTAGTCAAAAAGATTCTTTAGGGGCGGTTGGTCGGGGTTTGGGTGGTTCTTTATGGCAACGCATCTTCAAACATCAAGAAACTTAAATTTCCGTGAGGGGGTTAAAATCCCCCAATTTTTTGATGAAACTATGTTTAAGATATGTTTATTATATTCTAATATTACGTATTAGAATTTGGCTTTGTTGAAAAACAAAGCGTCCTCCTCCTTGCTTGCATTGGGGATTACTGAACGGATTTCACCAGCCCAAGGTAGTCATTCAAAATGGTGGACCTTGTGGTAGCTACCGATATGCAGCGCCATCTATTGGAGAGTAGCCGCTACCAAAAAGAAATCGTTTAGTTGGGCTACCATCCCATAGATGGCGCCACTTTGTAAAGTGTTATCACAGACCACACAAAATTTAACTAGTCTAAAAGATTCTTTAGGGGCGGTTGGTCGGGGTTTGGGTGGTTCTTTATGGCAACGCATCTTCAAACATCAAGAAACTTAAATTTCCGTGAGGGGGTTAAAATCCCCCCATTTTTTGATGAAACTATGTTTAAGATTTGTTTATTATATTCTAATATTACGTATTGGATTTGGCTTTGTTGAAAAACAAAGCGTCCTCCTCCTTGCTTGCATTGGGGATTACTGAACGGATTTCACCAGCCCAAGGTAGTCATTCAAAATGGTTGACCTTGTGGTAGCTACCGATATGCAGCGCCATCTATTGGAGAGTAGCTGCTACCAAAAAAAATTCGTTTAGTTGGGCTACCATCCCATAGATGGCGCCACTTTGTAAAGTGTTATCACAGACCACACAAAATTTAACTAGTCTAAAAGATTCTTTAGGGGCGGTTGGTCGGGGTTTGGGTGGTTCTTTATGGCAACGCATCTTCAAACATCAAGAAACTTAAATTTCCGTGAGGGGGGTTAAAATCCCCCCATTTTTTGATGAAACTATGTTTAAGATTTGTTTATTATATTCTAATATTACGTATTGAATTTGGCTTTGTTGAAAAACAAAGCGTCCTCCTCCTTGTTTGCATTGGGGATTACTGAACGGATATCACCAGCCCAAGGTAGTCATTCAAAATGGTGGACCTTGTGGTAGCTACCGATATGCAGCGCCATCTATTGGAAAGTAGCCGTCACCAAAAAAATTCGTTCAGTTGATCTACCATCCCATAGATGGCGCTTCTTTGTAAAATGCTATCACAGACCTCGCAAAATTTAACTAGTCAAAAAGTTCCTTTAGGGGCGGTTGGCCGGGGTTTGGGTGGCTTACTATGGCAACGCATCCTCCAATATCAAGAAACTGAAATTTCCGTGAGGGGGGTTAAAAGGACAGGGAGGGATATAAATAAAAATACAAAAAGATCCGTTCAATATATTTATTGATAACACAAATATAATGCAACATACACAAATCGATATATTTTAAATTTTAGTACATTTATACATTTATTAGTATGTTTTAACCAAAATATATTTCACTGATTTTCTTAAAAACAATAATTTTTAAAACTTTAGAGTTTAATAATTTAAAACTTGAAAAATGTCACTGGCGGTGCATCCAAAAATAATGTAAATATAAATTATTAGTGGAATAACATCGAAAAATGTACAAATAATATTTACAAAAATTGATTTAAGAGTATATAGGTATACTAATTCAAAGCTACCTGTCCAGATACTGAAAAAAGAATAAATAAATAATAGCGTATACGACTTAACTCACTGGATGCATTTTGCAACCAAAATTAGCAAATCACAAATAAGAAATTTTTTGGTTTACGATACAGGACCTCTAAAGGTGCTGAATATAGTCGTTCCTTCACTTGAGCTCACCTTGCTGCGATGATGCCTTATATGCCTTGACAGTCGCTTGGGAGCGATAGGATTGTCAAATATTTTTCTCGGGAAATAAAGTAGTACCTTTTCCCTATGTCACTAAGGCCCGTATCGTCAGTCGTCCCTACAATTGTAGGGCGCCTTTATGGCCTCCTTGATTGTCATGTTTTCTGCTTCTCCGTGTCAGAACTCTATTTTGAGGTTATGTCACAAACATCTATTTGCATCAAATTGTGCTTGCTTTTGAGTTATATCATGTTTTATCACCCTGAAATTTCCTACAATTTAAAAAGAAAACATATCTTCACAATAGGAGAGCGCTGACACGGGACAAGTGTAATCTAGAAATTTTTGAAGGAGAGAAAGGAGGATGACAATCAAGGAGGCCATAAACGCGCCCTACAATTGTAGGGACGACTGACGATACGGGCCCAAGTTGCTCAAGGAAGGAAAGGGCTAACCCAATCACGATTTACGTGTTACTTGTGTAAAGAAGCGACAAATCAAGAATTGAAAAGGTGATCTCAAATTGAAAAACGTAGCCTTATTTGGTATCTGACAACATAGACCAAGCCAACTAGAAAAATATCGGCCGTTTCAGAAACAATGCGGCATGCTGTTTTACGGCGGAATTATATTCTTGAAGGTATATAACGAGGTCCACCATCAATAGATGCAAAACATTCTGCTGGACAACTTTTTAATTAAACGTCAAAGTTGTAAAAACCACTTTTGGCGTATATTCAAATAGTTATGATCTGTTGGTGTTTATTTTTAATGGAAAATTGCATAACGTGAAATAATTTTTGTTATGGAGCACTGTAGTTGGTATTAAACAATCAACAGGAGTTCGAACCACCGTTCGAATCTTGTAGCTATTACTTTTTTTCGGCCCTCAAAAGTAAAAAAAAAATTTCCTCAAATGTGTACTTTTCATCAACTTTTTTGTGACACGCATCCTAATTGCTTTGAAAATACAATGCACTTACTCTAATTGTTAATAAGACATAAATGGATTTACATTTGGCGACGTATTTTTAATGGTTATTATAAGAAAATCTATTAGCTTTTTGATGTTAAATTCAGTCTTTACCAAGAGAATGAGCACAATACGAGGCCATTTTATTGATTTAGTCACTGGACAGCTCGTCAAACAAGGCCGTAACTGAATAAAATTTTTCCATTATGCAATTTCCGGTAAGAAAACATGGGTAGAAATCGACCATTGTTGATTTTTTTTTGTAATAACAAATTAGCCGTTGCAGCAAATTGGGTCTCAATTTGAGGGTTTCAGTTTAATAAAAAGCTTACCCAGCAAAATTTTTTGCTTCTCTCGGGGACTTATATCCCCAAAAATATAATTATTTGCACCTCCCAAGTGAAAAGGCCCTGACATTAAGGAGCCCTTAAGAAACCACTATGCATTTGACCCTAAAATACGAGAGTAGAATTTAATAATAGTAAATCACTTTTGTCACAAATAAGGAGATCTGTTAAATTTAGTACTGACATTACAGGGTTTCTCACTTACTATTTGCATATTGCATCCCCAAATATTCTATAATACTTTCTTTCCTTGCGGACGGAACTTCACGTTCTTTTGGAACCATGTATTCAAAACCTGGAGATTGCTCTGAAAGACCCCAATAATTTTACAAATTGGTCAAAGATTACAATAGAATATTAAAATATTCCTAAAGGTTTAAATAAATATAGAAAAAACATATTATACTTAATATGATACTCACATATAGATACTACGTTTACTACACATATTTAATATACGCTTATACGATATCTATCCAGTATTTTTTACACATAACATTTATGTATGATTTCTTATATACTAGTAATTTTTTTGCGCAATTCGTCTGGTAAGAATATCCAAAATTTTACACAGCTAAAACTTCAGTTAAAATGGCACAGAATATTTAGTCCTATACGTAACATATTGAGTTTAAAAAGTCGACGTAAAAAATATAACAAAATGGTTTTAGATCTTCTTACCAAATATGTATATATAAATATATAATATAGAGAAGTAATGTTTTCATAACAAGGCCAAAATTTGAAGATAAAATGTTTGAAACACATGCATCCACTTAAAAATGTACAGATGGATACAAATCTTCCTTATTCGATATTCATATCAAATTCGATGTAATATTTCTTTGAGTTTTGGCACTGTCATGAATTTATTACCAAATCACAATCATTCAAGAGATTTCAGTCATACATATGAAAGGGCGTGCTAATTTAGCAATTTTGTTCCCTAAAATTCTTGGAAATAACACTGGTGTCAACCTACTGCACACAAAATTTATCACAATCGAAAAAGCTTCTTGACTATTCAATTTCAACGTTCTATTGAAAAATTGATGCTAATTGTCTTTTTTAAAGAGAAATCTGGGAGCAAAGGGCTCTTGCAATGGCCCCGAACTGATTCTGAAAATTGACGAAAATATGGTTGAGGAAAGACGACTGTAGGCAGCTCCAAACATCGGCTAGAGTGCTCAATCTCGTGGTTGCGATTTACACAGGCCATTGCAGATTACGCAAACGTTTGTTTCTCAGGCGAAAAATCTCGATGCCTTGTCCTCTTTTTTTGACCAATATGTGAGATTTTTTTTCGTGAAATAATTATAGAATAATCTTGCGTACAGTAAATTGTCACACAGTGCAACATATAGTCTATATCTAGACAGATCGTTCATATCATCCTTCATTTAACAAACATAGATTATCCAACCTCATGATTTAACTTTCTTATGTAACCCTAAATGCACCTTTTGGAATCAGATAAATGTTCAGATGAACCGATTTGCTATCTTCACATAATCAGTCTTCTACTAGTCGTTTTATCCAGCACATAACTGGCCTATAATACATAACCTTACAATATACATACAAAATCGCTTTTTACAGGGTAAAATCCTACATATTACGAGCCAAAACCTTCAAGTAACGATAATTCATTTTTTTATCTACAGCATGGGTTTTGAAGCACATTTTTACATGTATGCGAGTATTTGATACTCTTACCCTAAACACTATATTTACACTTAGATTCAACATTCAATATGCAATTGGTTCATTTTTTTATATGATTTAATCATGATTCAACGATTTCCCTAATGTACCAATATGGTGTTACAGAAGCACCAAAATGCCCCATGCTTTTTTCGAGCTCCTTGTTTACAAAAGACACTTTGGCTTTTTCTAAGCAAGCTAGTGTATATGACCAAAAGCCTGGTAATAGCCTAACATTGAATATACATCGAGACGATTTCCAAAAAATTCATAAATTTTAGTACAATAACATTGAGTGATGTCAAGGTATTTTTTCAAAATCTTGCTTTTTAAGGGTTTTCTAAGAGACAGGTAAATTTTGAAACAACAAAACTGTGTGTGAGCTATGAAGAATTTCTTCATTTTATTTGGAAGGCCAATGGCACAAATCCTAGAGGTCTAATTTTCAATAACTGCCACATAGGTTTTCCGAAAATAACATTGCAAAAGGACGGTGTATTATCTCCCTCAGACGTGACGTGAATTGGCCATCTAAACAGTACAATTTGACCTCATTAGATATTTTTAGAGTCTCAGATCAACATTCAAGTTCAGCCGGATGTACAAGGGTCGTTCCAAAAATAAGGTTCCCAACGCTGTAACTTTGCCTCGCGTGATGCTACGCGAAATCTGACAACACCATCGTGTTTGTCGGCTCCTCCACCACCGATCCCAACAAGAAGCGCCTATTGGCAACGCCCAGTACGGATTCCACGTCTAAAACAATGCGTAGAAAAAATGGCTTCTTTGTAGAGATCAACGTCCAATGGTAAATTCTTTTTTCAAATAAAAAATTCCTTGTGGCTAAACAAATGTGGGAACCCTATTTTTGAAACAACCCTCGTATATGACAGTTACTGAAAACGGCATTTCAAATAATAACAGAATTTCCGTGATAGTTCACACATAACTTTGATGTGTTACACTTCAAAATCAATATGTCTTCATTGGAAAACCCTGGAGATATTTCATTGCTTCTCCTGAATATATTTTTCACGTTATTTTAAAATCGTTGATGCTAAGGAACATCAAAGATGTATGCACTTCTCATTTTTATGATATGAACAGATATTTATTCCTATTTGGACATTCCACATATTTTAGTAACATATTTTTAACATGTATAGTGTGGGTCATTGTGCAGAGGGACTTAATAAACAACATTTATCAGGGTGCTACGTACTTTTGTCACCTTCTCTGATGAAACAGTCGAAAATTAAAATTGTCCCATTAGAGGCCTTTCTGCAAATCAAACAAAAATATTTTAAAAAAGCGACACAGAATGAAACACGGACAGCAATAGAATAAGCTGAGGTTTGGCAAGATGAAGTTCTGTTAGTAGCAATCACACACATATACATATAACAATCAGTGTTACCACTTGAAACAAGAATGTCTTTTTCTACTACAAAGAAAAATATAGAGAGTATAAAACAAAATCCATCCATAAAATTGATGCGTAGAAAAAAAGTGCTTGAAATGAACTTTCGTCCTTTTTTGTTCTTACGATTCATTTTAAGCACTGGACAGGAACAGTTGAAGATTTGCACTCGGTACACAAGCGTTAAATTGACATACTACTTGTTGTCAGTGTTATTATAAGCTGTGTTTCGACACGCGTTGAATTCTATCACTGAACTATACCGCCATCTATGGGACACTAACATTTTCAAAGTAGTTTTATAATTATTGTGCAGAGGAGAAACATAGATGTGACAAATATGATGCTATGGTATCTCATCTCATCTCGGATAATTTTTTGGACAAAATACAGCACTTGGTTGGCCACGGTAACCAATGACTGCACTTGCAACACGGTAGCTAGATGAAAACACCCCGCAGAATGTTTACACGGGAAATGGCTTCCAGATATTTTTTTAATCCACTATGTTGTAGATCTTAGCACGCAGAACAAAGATGTACATAGGTCTACGCTACTTTCTCAAGTAGTTTTTGAGATACTGGGCCTCAAAGCTGGGCTGTCTTCACCGTATCATCGCATATTGTGGGTTCAGTACTCAATATGTAATAGTTGTTTGATATATATACTAAGTCACATATAAAATGCAACACCTCGAATTATTGATTGAATTTTGATAAAAACCTGTAAACATATTTTCTATTATGGAAGTATACGCTAACATGTTAAAGACACTCCGAGCCGTCTTTTGTGTCATATCAGGATCCGAACAATATGAACATGTTTACTTAATATTCAGTGATTTTTCTGTGTTGGTTTCATTTGTTTCATTGCACTATTATGCCTAGAGTTCGCAGATAAATCGCTAATCGGGTGAATCGAAACGAAGCTACTGTAATGAGATGTTGTCGAACGTGGTTCCAAGAAGGCCGAAATCGACGAGTTAGAGGTACCTATTTGAGACTAATAGCACTTAGATCGATTTTCCCCACAACAAGGGCAGTTGCGAACCAGTGGTTTGATCATTGTTGGAACGGCAATAGCAATGAGGACAGTTTATCGCCGAATAAGGTTTTTTGGACTTTTTTATACCGTCGCCATCTTGTATTACCTCCGACCCCGCAGCATCATCGACAACGATTGATATCGAGTAGGGAGAGAGTTGAATGGAATATAGAATGGAACTACTCAGCGATGAATCCAGATTCTCTTTGGGCACATATGATGGCCGTGCAAGAGTAAGGAGAAGACGTGGTGAAATATTCCATCGAACGGCATATTCATCGCACTGTGGGTACAAAATTCATCGCACCCTCTACAATCATTGGAAGCTCTACGAAACCAAATTCAGATGGCCTGGGATACAATACACCAAGAAGACATCAATCACGTAATCCAATCAATGCCGCGATGGCTTAACGAATGTGTAGCGAACAGAAGAATTTCAACACATTATTAACATTAAGGTGGGATATCTCCGCTTTCTTTTGCGAAATTTCGAGCCAACATTTTAATCACTTTCTATTTATCAGTGGACCTAAAATTTGTAAAAGTATGGTTAAAACTACAGCACTCCTAGTCGGTGTTGCATTTTCTATGTCTTGTTTTTGAATTCTTATCATCAGCTCCACTTAGCGATTCGGCAACATTGCAATTCTTCCATGAACAAGGTGAGCCAAGCGTGCATGGATGGAGTATTGCTCCGAGACAACATTTTTTAAAAACTGTTCAGAATTCTGCTGCAACATCCCGGCGAGAGTACATTCCAAAAATGTTCAAAACTATACAGGGCGTTCTACTACAGGGCTGAAAATCAACGTGGTTTTTGTATAGATATAGATAATGCATAAATACTGAGTTTTGTCGAGTTTTATTTTGAGTATTTTGTCTAAAATCACTGTACAACCACTTGACCCGAACAATTCAAGGACTGGTTAACTGAAGACTATACGACATCTTCTTACAGAAAGTTCAAATATGTAATAAAAATATAGTATCTATCAAAAAACAACTTTCGTTATCTAGGTCATTGGTTGACCTGCATTGCATAATGTTTTTCTACATGGACGATGCGGGATAAACCTAAAGAATTTATTATTTTCGATTTCGGAGCGAAAATACATCCATCCAAGTTTGGGCCACGCCGTACATCTGACAGAATTGCAATGTCCCTGAGGCGGCCAGTGGGGTGAAGATAAGAAAGTAAATAAAAAATAAACGCTTATTAAATATTGTATAATGAACCCAAAATACGTTGTAACAGGGTACGGACTGCCTAACCTTACCTCGCAAAGCTACTCGTGGGAAAAGTTTCGGCCTATGGATACATTTGTCCTACAACACAGTAATTTTTTTGAAATATTAGCCGAAATCCATTCCTCATAAGGATTCTGCACGGATGATAACACGCTGCAAAAAAACGTTGGTTTAGCAGTACATTGAAGCAGATATACAGGAACGGGTCTCAGTGACGACCCGCGTTGATCCAGTGTGTGCACAGCAAGTAGCAAGTAAGTAGTACATACATTACGGCGCGCGTTTTCTTGCAGCGCGTCAATGTAACGCTCATGTGCATTTGAACCTAACGTGTGATTTCATCATGAAGTATGGCAAATTCAAGTGATATTTTTGAGGATGTATCAATACATGGCGAAACACACGTGCGTTAAACTTACACGCAGGAAAAAAACGCGCGGTCAGCATTACATCGGTGAATTTGAAACAAGACACACTTTACACGAGAGTTGTATTGGGTGATGCCAGTGTCATGTAAAACGAGCGTTAATTTCCCGCAAGTAGTACAGCGCGCGTTTTTTCACAACGCGTCAATTTAACGCTCGCGTGTCCAGGGTATTAATGTGCACACGACCCTGAAGTTTGATTTCATATCAATCATATCAATACAGGCCGAGACACAAGTGCGTTAAATTTAGTTGAAACAAGACACACTTTACACCCCAGTTGTATTGGATGATGCCAGTGTCGTGAGAAACGAGCATTAACTTCCCGTGTACGCACTAAGTAGTACACCCGTTACAGCGCGCATTTTCTTGCAATGCGTTAATGTAATGCCTGTGTGTTCGGGGTGTTAATGTGCAATTGAACCTAACGTGTCATTTCATTATGAAATATGGTAAATTTAAGTAATGTTTTCGAGGATGTATCAATATATATCGAAACACACGTGCGTTAAATTTACACGCAGGAAAAAAAAAACGCGCGTTTAGCATTACATCGGTGAAGTTCAAACCAGACACACTTTACACGAGAGTTGTATTGGATGATGCCAGTGCCATGTAAATCGAGCGTTAATTTAGCGTGTAGACAGCAAGTAGTATAGCGCGCGTTTCTTCGCAACGCGTCAATTTAACGCTCGCGTGTCCAGGGTGTTCATGTGCACTCGACCCTGAGTCGATCATCAATACATGCTGAGACACAAGTGCGTTAAATTTACGCGCACGACAAAAACGCGCGTTTAGCATTACATCGGTAAAGTTGAAACAAGACACACTTTACACGCGAGTTGTATTGGATGATGCCACTGTCATGTAAAAGGAGCGTTGATTTCCCGTGTACACAGCAAGTAGTAGAGCGCGTTTTTTCGCAACGCGTCAATTTAACGCTCGCGTGTCCAGGGTGTTAATGAGTACTTGAACTTAACGTGTCATTTCATCATAAAGTATCATAAATTCAAGTAATATTTTGTATCAATACATGCTGAGGCACAAGAGGACACACTATAGACGCAAGATGTTTTGTTGCAACGCATCAATTTAATGCTCGTGTGTCCTGGGTGTTAATGTGCACTTGAATCTACCGGGTGATTCCATCATAAGGGATAAGGGTATTGCGAATTCAAGTAATATTTTCGAGGATGTGCCAATAAGAGTTCAAGCTTTGAATCGCGCGCTGTTTTCGCCATCCTAGGAAAACCTTTGTATGTATTAGACTGTCAATACTGCTTATGATTTGGTTACGTGGCACGTCTATTGATCTTAATCAAGAAAAATGTTACTCAATTCGACATGCTTTTACTTATAGTAGGAATTTATAAAAGTATTCCAAGTCATCCCTGGTCAAGTGTCAAGCGACAGCCAAGCACTCACACGTTTTAGCTTGACATTGTGTTTTTGACCACAGTGTGATATCAGTTGTTATCTGATAGAATAATCCCTGACCAACATTTGAAGAGTGAAAGAGTAGTTATATCAAAAGGGGACACTGAAGAAAATGGCTTCATTGAGCTTGGATTTGGCATGCATTACAACAAAAACAGCGATCTATGAGTAAACCGCTTTTGTCTTGGCGCACATAGACGTCTCGAAATCTGCCAAAGTACCGCTCTCGCTTTGGCCGTTCACTCATAGATGGCTCGGTATCTACTCAAGAAGGGGCCATGCAGTACTGAGGGGAAAATGTTTGGATACTACCACAGTTATACTGAATTGAATGCAGAACCAGTTCTTTATACGATTTTTGAGCTCAACTTTGAACGCGGCTGCTACTTGCTGTTGAACTCACACACATAGTAAAAAACCTTAACACATTCTTGATATTGTAGTTTTATCTTCAAAAATTGCTATGTTTTATATCGGAGACCAACAAGAAGTAAACCTGAATCACACGCCCAGGACGTGGCATAGAGGCCTGTTGCACGATGTATACGTGAGGGAGATGAATGTATCAAAGTTATTCCAGTAGCTTTTTTACCGTGAGCTGTCAAAAACCGTGTAAAGACATATGACAGTTGTCAGTTATCTAACTTTATTTTCGCCAAATTTGCACATCATCCAAAGGATTATTCATTTGGCAACAGTGCCATCAGATGTTTTGTGGCCGCCATGTTTTTGATTTGGCCAATTTATCTCTCCCTAATTCATTCAACTGGTCCAAATGTCTTGTCTTGGTATAACTACTCTTTGATCATACTGAAAGATACAATTTTATTTTGTTCCGTTTATAAAGAAATAGGGAACCAAGATTACTCATAATAAAAACTTACATCCTGTTACTGAAAACTGTGCTAGTGGTTGCCAAGGTAGTCAAGGGATCCCGGCGACACAAAGACGCAATGTTGATGACCCGAACATTTTATAAGTTCGCAATAACAAAAAATGGCTTGCAATAGTTCAACAATTAGACCCACGAAACATTAGTTGCAGACCAACGAATTCAGACTAGGTAGAAGCAGCCAGCAAGGATTTGTTTGTCTTGTAATTCTCACAGACTGTAATGAGGATCAAAGTGCACTTGACGCAAGTCAATTTTTTGATAGGTCTATCATTAAATGCGTATTTTTAGTGTCAGAGTGGGTGTTTGCAGATAATTGTGGTGCTGGATACATACTTTGCAAAGAACGACATACGAGGTCTGGAAATTAAGCGATAAGCCTGCCAACGTAGCGTTCGATGTGGCGACACTGGAGACGCCGCGTTTGGAGGGCCGACAGGGTACCTGTGATCCGCTTTCAGTACAAGTTTGAACTCGCTCGAGTCATTTGGTTGCCCGTAGCAATTTTTTTTGTGAAACACTTTTTCCTATTGTGTTCTAAAAATTAATGACATCAATTTCGAGGAACGATGTGCGATCAGGTTTTGCTTCAGACTTAGGTACAGTGCAACGGGAATTCTTGCTACATAGTGTTTTGTTAAGAGCCCAGGTTTTCGTGATATAAGGCATTTTCAGAAGGGAGAGAGTCGGTTGAAGATGAACCACGAAGCGGAAGGCATTCATCTTCAAGAACCGATGAAAATATCGACCGAATCCTGGATCTTGTGCGTTCGGATCGACGGCTGCCAGTCCTGTGGCTCCTGCTTATTCGCCTGACTTGAGTCTTTGTGACTTTTTCCTCTTCCCGAGTTGAAAAATCACCTGAAGGGAACTCATTTTGGGACAGTCGAAAACATTCAAACGTCTGTAACCGGCCAGCTCCGATACTGGAATTCCGATATGAAGAGTGGAAGAACCGTCTCAAGCGCTGTGAGGCTTTAGGAGAAAGTTATTTTGAGGGTGACAATATAAAATTTTAATTATATTTAAATGAGAAATTAAACAAAATCAGTCTCATGACTTGATTTACAGACCTCGTAAGCCTAATAAATGTAGATGTTTCCACATATTATTAATCAGTTACTTTCGTAGGCATTGGTAGATAAATAAGTAAAAAATATTCACTAAAACTACGCAATTTTGGCGACAAATAATCCAATGTAAACACATAGGCTCCTTGTAATCTATTCGAATTCGTTGTTGTCTCTTAGACACTCGAGGGAGATTCTTCGTAGCTGGACGAAACAAACATGAAGGACATACAGAAGCGTTTAAAGGGCCGATGTATTAGCTTCCATACCTTCTGGGGGTACTCTCACACTATCAGTTGACATTCCGCCATTGTTAATGGCATACATTTCTCTCGGAGTGACAACTACTTCTAGTTTAGGTTCTGGGGGCAGACATAGAGTCTGGACGCAGAGATGGAGGTTGAGGTAGTCATTGACTACCCTCCAGATTCCAGGGCGCCTGTTGTGGTATAACTTGGAGTACATGTAGACGTCAACTTTGTTGTCGTGTAACAGGTGTTTTTTCAATGTGGTCAGAGCGCAGAAAGTTGCGGCTTCGGTTCCTCCGATTCTTGAAAAATTAAGATTCAAATCAGAAGGTTACTTCAAATCACTGTTTACTATATACCCTCACCATTGGGATCGGAAACGGTAAGAGATACGAAGTCGCTTAAATGATGGCAAAGTTGCGGATTAAGGTAACACTGATAAACAAAGGATTTGTGACATGACAATTTTTGGGTGTCTTATGTATTTTGAGACCCTTGAATCAAATCTAAAAACAGAATTTTTCTATCACCCACAGATATTCGGTAACATCTACTTTTATGAATTAGAATACGTAACATCTCATATTGCTGCATTTCTTGGCGTTTATGCGATGACGCACATATATAAAGTTAAGATTCCTGTTTATTATATGCGAGCTCTATGTTCAGAAAGCATATTGCATTCATTAGTAGACTAACAGCAGCCGAGTCAGTTACGTTTTCTGTGTTGAAGAGTACTGATATGTTCTGAGTACTGTAAATTTTTGTTAAAACGGTTTGTTGTTTTTAGTTTATTGTGATCGAGACTAGCTTTATGAACAATGCTCAGACATCGTGTAAAGAGTGCGAACAGTTTTTGTTATGTGTGCGGAGAGCTAACTTTTAAATCCCAAAAAGGTACTTTACTCCCCATGTGTTGAAAGCATACGAACATTATTTTGGAATTTAAGTTGGCGGCCAAGATGAACAATGGGCCCCTCATATATGTTGTAAGACTTGTGTAACGTTCTTAACAGGTTGGTTAAGGGGTGACAATCGTAAAATGCCCTTTGCGGTACCAATGGTTTGGAGAGAACCGAGAGACTATACTACTGATTGCTATTTTTGCCCCACAAATATTAAAGGTATTGGAACAAAATCGAAATTTACCATCAGATTTGCGGTCCGTTAAGTATAGTGATGAACTTTCTGTCCTAGTTTCACCAGAATCTTGGTCCTTGGATGAAAAAGTCGAATCCACCGATTCTGAAAGTGATGGTAAACATTTTCGATCCTTCGTTTGACCTGCCAGGATATTCAACAGCGCCGCATTTGTTCACACAGGGCGAACCTAATGACTTAGTTCGAGAATTAAATCTGTCAAAATCCCAGTCAGAACTTTTAGCGTCAATATTGAAAGGATGGAATCTTCTCCACGGTGATGTTAACATTACTTTTTATCGAAAACGGCAACAATACCTCACACACCGTTTCCGTCAAGAAAGGGAGTTGATATATTGCTCCGATGTCAACAATTTGTTTGACGCGTTAGGACAGAAACATGATCCAAATGATTGACGCCTGTTCATTGATTCCTCTATGCTTAGTTTAAAAGCGGTATTGGTGCACAACGGTAATAAATATCCATCTGTAGCTATAGCGCACGCAGTGCATATGAAGGAATCGAAAATATGCGAGTTCTGTTAGAGCATATCCGTTTAATGAATATGGTTGGGCCAAATGTGCAGATTTAAAGGTAATAGCCCTTGTTCTTAGAATGCAACTGGAATATACCAAATATTGTTGTTTTCTTTGTGAATGGGACAGTCGTGTACGAGATCTTCATTATGAAAAAAAGGAGTGGCCACTACGTCAGGTATTACCTCCGGGCCACAAATACATTGTTCATGAACCACTAGTTGATCCCACCTTTGTATATAAAGTTGATGAACAATTTTGTGAAAGCTACGGATCGAAATGGAAGAGGGTTTTTGCATTTAAAACAAACATTTCCGAGACTTAGTGAGGCAAAAATAAAAGAGGACATATTTGTGGGTCCACAAATACGGAAAATCATGAAGGATGATGTATTTGACAGTGCTCTAAATGAAACTGAATTACGAGCTTGGAATGCTTTTGAATCAGTTACTGCAAATTTTTTAGGCAATGTGAAGGCGGACAATTATAAAGATATTGTGATTGAACTAATTAATCCTTATAAAGAAATGGGATGTAACATGTCTCTAAAAATTCACTTTTTGTATTCTCATCTCGATTTTATCCCGGAAAATTTAGGTACGGTAAGTGATGAACATGGTGAACGGTTCCACCAAGACATTTCTGCTATGGAAAAACGGTATTAAGACCAATGGAGTGTCAATTTGCTTGCTGATTATTGCTGGACATTGTTAAGAGATACTTCAGGAGCAACATGTCGCCGTAAAACATCGACAACAACATTCTGAGATTAATGTTTATTCGAGTGTTTATTAGTACTCTTACACACATATCCTCATATTTTACGAGTATAAACAGCAAATAAAATGCCTTATTGCAAGAAAACCGTGGGTGATAGAAAAAATCGAATGTTATTTCCGGATTTTTGGGTACGTTTTAATATAACCACCTTGTTTTGTTCATGTCACAAAAAATTATTTTAATTTTGTTCACCAGTGTAATCAACAAAATGCCGCTTAGAAAGTTTCGCAATCGAAACTACTTCCGGAGAAAGACGAAAAAAAAAAAAGACACAAAATCTTCGGAATATCGTTTAAAACCCAAAAATGAAAACTAATGCAATAATTTTAGGTTATACTTACTTGTCAACGACGACAATAGGTCCATTCTGGAATTTCTGCAAATCGAGCACAAAGTTTGGCAGATGATACATTTCATACAGCCCTCCTTTCAAGCAATGTGGCCAGTTATGACAGTGCAGCATTTTCACAGGAAATTCATAGTCATCTTGCACCGATCGTAGCAAAAATTCTCTCATATGGTAGACAGCATTAGGATTCTCATGGGTTTGTTTACAAGTATATGTATCAGTCTCAATGATCTCACTACCTACTGGCCAGAAAACTCCAAACTCCTCGTCATCCATTTGGCTCATCATGACGATAAGTTGGGCACTGTGGTCCCAAACCATTTGCCAAAAGTCTTCGCGTGTCGTTTTAAATGGATGTTGCGTTATGATGAATTCTCTTTGACTATGGAAGCCCTGGAGCCAAGTAGCGTTGATATAGTCCGAGCCCTCTTCTCCAGGTTTTGGAGTTAGATGAACCCTAGCACTCTCGACTGGCAGTAATTGGGTAGAGCGATTCTTCGGTTTATTAACGATCTTGTTGGCAGATACTAGGTTGTAGTCCCGGGGGACAAAACGAGTCACAAGCTGAAAACAAAAATACACTGACTCAGAAAACGTGGGCGGTCTCTTATCTCAAGCATCATTTTTTACACCGAAGCAGCCACGCAGCCAGGTCACCGCGGCTTAAAGGATGTTAATCCGATTATTGAACTGTCTAAGGTTAGTAGAACTGGGAAACGCCTCTTCGTGTACAAGGGTTGTCTCAAAAATAAGGCTCCCACATTTTTTTCAGACACAAATAATGTTTTATTTGAAAAAGACGAATTTACCACTGGAAACGTTAATCTTTAGAGTATTGTTATACATAGTCGCAATGTCAGGGCTGTTAGGGGAATGAGCAATTACTTTCCAGCCAAATCGATTCAGTCCTTCGTTTGTTGTGAGACATAAGGATGTGCCAAAGCGCGATTTTGGATTGCTCGTCTCAGCTTTTTCAGAAGGCTCAGGAATTTCAACCTCCTGCTCCCGGATCGTGATTCGCCGATCTTCGAGCAAAATTTGCTCAATCTACGCCATAACTTAATCGGAGATCGACGGCCTTCTGCTTCGTTGTTCATCGTAGATGTCCATGCAGCCGTCATTTGAGGACATGTTGAATGCTTATACATGTTTCCCATATGCTTCTCTAAACTGGCGATCAATTTCTATGGGTAGTAACGTTTTTTCGTGCAAAAATAGGATGAACGCACGAACTTCCCACCTGGCGATGACGTGCTCATTGCGCATGGCTGTCAGGCCGGTGCTAAGCGCGGACAATAGGAGCTTCTTGTTGGGATTAGTGGTGGGGGAGCCGACAAAGATTATGGTGTTGCCAGATTTTGCCTAGCATCACGCGCGGCATAGTTAGAGCGTTGGGATCTTTATTTTTGAAACAACCCTTGTAGATTGTTCCACAGTCTTGATGTCCTAGGGACAAAGGAGAGGTCGTATCTGTTAGTTCTGGTTATGCGAATAACGGAAATCATCAATCAATGCCTAAACACAGGAGAAGGCCCAACATATGGAAGAAACCAGTTGTAACGCTACTAGCAAAGGTCAATAACGCTATCGATATAGGGATGAAGGATTTGAAACCAGCAAGCGCTTTACCTGTGATGTCCAAGCTTGCAGAGAGAGTGGTAACTGACAAACTCCGGGAATCGAATAATAATCATTATTATTAATGTGTTAATTAAGCATGTACCTTAAATTCAACAGATGATTCTTTGGGTAATTTTAAGACAAAAAGTTCATATAAGGGTGTTAAAATTGTTTTTCGTAAATATCTTAAATATCCCTTACCTAATTTTGTTCTAATTTGGCGACGGTATTTATAAAACCAAGGAGCTAATTCAGCTTTAACTTGATTACATTTATTAAGTCGAGTGGCGAGTATTTGCGACAAAAAAAAGTACGCAACTGACTTTTGTGTAATTTTAATCAAGTTCCTTAGATTAAGCAAATAGAAATACTAATAACATTTTTATCTCTTGCATGTTTTCGTATATTGCTTAGCTTTCGAGAAAAAAAATCCACTTAATTGCATATCGCTGGACCGCACAAGGAATGCGGGGAAAACTTCCTTTTGGAAACTAGGTGTATTGTTTTTTTTTATAATTCTTTATTACTATTTTTTTTCTACTCCGACCACCACGAAGGGCTAATGCCTAAACACCCATTCGGTACCGTGGGGCTATAGGGGGATACAGGGAAAAGGGAGAACGAAACACGGACCCTAGCAAAGGAACACGTGCGCATGCAAAATGCACACATTCTGGCCCTGCCAACGAAATCCGCCGGGTGGTACCTCCGCGTTCGACAGTCAGAGACCGTCTACCACCTACGTCTAAAGTATAAGAATACATATTGTTACATGTTAGAAAATGTTAATACTCCTACAGGTCGCCAGAAATGCTGCGGTCAGCAGAGGAATCGCCTGGCAATACCAAGCAACAAGGATTACAGAGATAATAAAGTTAGACATAAAGAAGATGTTTTACTACTGGGAGTAAAAGCCCACAAGAATTATAAATTTATTACAAGGGCAACTTACCGCATACTGAACGTCTAACGGTTTCCATGACTCGTTCTTATCTTCTTGGTTGAGATTCTGTAACTGCGAGACATAACGTGGAAACTCTTCCCTAAGAATGTTTGTTTCGCCGCACTCAATGGCTTCTACTAGAGCATCGTGGATGAAAATGTACTGTTCTTCAGTTTGGACTAGGAAGTTCCTTTGGGCACGGATATGTTTGAGAAAACCGAAAATGTTGACCTCACCTCTAGCGCGAATCTGTTTGAGCATAGCGTCCAAAACTATGTAAGTGCCGGTTCTGCCAACTCCGGCGCTGCAAAAAAAAACAAAATAGCTTTTTGTCCTTTTTTCGACCCCGGATACAAACAATACAACTAACAATCCAATTATAATACAGAGATTCAATCCTTTGATCCTTTTGATATAGATAATATCCTCGATGCTCAAACTTACTTCTAATCTTGCCATAAATGCATCAAAGCCCAATGCAATGCTTTTTTGCTCTGGGCCTATACAGGGTGTCCGCAAAGTTGGGGTTTTCCTTTACACGACGTGTAGATCTTGAGAAATAAGCGGATTTGCTTAGTAGCATACACACCAATGTCTTAAGAGAACCGAGATATTTCGTTCCGCAAACCTGAACCAAACAGAAGCCGGTCCTATCCCTCGATCACGTCCACAGCGCCAGCGTTCAGTTATACGGCGTACGACTACGATGTAAATACGTTAGTATGCAACCTAACCTAGACTCCGGTAGTGTAGGACAACAACCCATTACATTGGTAACCGATTGCTGATCAAAAAATAAAAAAAAATGGCACATTCATACACCAATAGCGAACTAGTCGACATGCTGTTAATTTACGGTGAGTGCCTTCAACATGCGACCGAGGCTTTGCGAGTGTATGCAGATCGGTTTCCCAGACGTCATCATCCAAGGCCCCGTAGATTCGTTTACCTTGTGCAGAGACTCAGGGATACGGTTCGTTTGGAGGAATGTCGAGGTGGGCACAGTGGGAGATCTAGACAACCCCGAATGGTGCAAACTGAGGAAGAATGAATCTCGCAGACGAGAATCCTTCAACAAGCACTAAGGACGTGGCTAGACAAGTGCAAGTGTCGAAGACTAAACTGTGGCAAACTGTGCATGATGAGGGATTGTACGCGTTTCACATGCAACGTGTACAAGCCCTCCAAGCCGAGGATTTTTCTGCAAGAGTACGGTTTTGTGAGTGATTGTTGCACCAACATGACAATAATCCGGACGTTTTCAAGTGCATATTAGTCACAGACGAATCCATGTTCACAGGTAACGTGGTGAATAACTTCTGCAATACTCATGTGTGGTCTGTAGAAAATCCTCACGCTGCCTGTCGGTCACACTTTCAACAAACATTTTCTGTGAATGTTTGAGCTGGCATGGTAACCGGCATGCTCATTGGACCATTTATTCTCCCGAATCGGTTGGACGGGATACAATACCTTTTTACAAAACATTTTACCAACCCTGCTAGAAGATGTGACTTTGAGTGTAAGACAATCAATGTGGTTTCTCCATGACGGCGCACCCATTTTAGACGCGAAGTGCGTGAGTTCTTAAATGAATCATTTCCGAATAGGTGGATCGGACGTAATTGACCCGTAGCATAGCCTTCTCGATCTCCAGACTCAACACCGTGTGATTTTTTCTTCGGGTTGAAATGAAACGCTTGGTGTACAAAACAGAGGGGCACATGATTGACGAATTACGTCTGATAAAATTGAGCAAACTGCTGCATTCATTCGGGGAAGGGACTCCACTCTAAAAGCCTGCACCGATGCTTGGCTACGTCGAGCACGCACATGTGTTTTCGAATCCAACAGCACAATTTCGAACATTACTTATAAAATACGTTCACCGAGAAAAAGTGACACTGACGTCATATTTTCGATCTCTTTTTTGCTATTTTTGTATGCTCGGTGCTCCTAGAATTTGACGACAGAGCCGTACTTGGAATTTCAATCCAACTGAATAGCGAGTACTTTTTCATTTATTTTTTTTTACTTATTCGCTCACGTTTCACCACACATTAGCTTTGTTATATCAAGGGTAGTTGCGTCTGAAAAGGAAAACCCCAACTTTGCGGACACCCTCTATAAATGTATATACAGGGTGACTTCGAAGTTGAGTCATTTATTTTAACAGTGAGTAGATCTGATCAAAAGAAATGTTTTTTTCCTTTACCATTTTTCTGGTAAAATTAAAGTAACAAAGTTATAGCCCTTTGGAAGTTTGAGTACCGCCCTGTCTCAATAATAATATCATGTACTCGTGTTTGGCAACAACGGATATAATCCGCCTTACCGGTTCATCGCATCGGAAACAAAAAAGCGAAAGAATTTGGAACGACGTTTTTGCAATTAAGTGTTTTATTCAGTTCAGTTATACATACAGTCAGTATCTGTCGGTTAGCGTGTGAATAGTTTCTGTTGCGTGGCTCAAACGAAATAAAAAATGGCACATGTTTATGCGGATCGGTTTCCCAATCGAGTGCAACCAACCCCTCGTGCCTTTGTTAATGTAGTACAACGGGCTCGTGAATCAGGTGACTTAAGACCTCACAGGGGACCTCACGATCAAATACAGGTCCGCACTGAAATACTTGTCGGGAGGATACTTTATAAAACAAGGTAAATTTTTTTTTTTATTTTTTTTTATTTTTACACACATATTCTGGTTTATCTTCCTTCTACAATCATTATCTGAAAATTAATGACTCAACTTCAAAGTCACCCTGTATAAGATGAACTTCTGGTAAGTTGAATGGCTCTTTCAAAATACTTGAAAAACGCATTTACAGGCAACTACAAGTTAACTTCATGGTTATAGTTAACTAACCAGAAAGTGAACTTGCGATTAAAAAACGGGTCTTAGGGGTTAGGGGGTGCAGCCAAAAACCCTTGACAACCAATCCTGTTAGGTCATATGCTTTGCTGTTACCTGATATGCCACTGTTTCGAGGCATATACAATAACATGAAGGCCAGAATCTTGAAATATTCTTACTTTCTCCGAGGAGTTATTCAAACTACTATCGTTTCCAACCTATGAGTATCTTGAATCTTGGACATTCTATTTATTTTTTTACTTACCTACAATGAACTACGATTGGTCCACCATTTGGGGGGTTGGCAGCAGATGATTTCTTTATAAAATGTATCACAGGCAGGGGGTGGTCTGGTGTACCATGATCCGGCCAATTCGTGTAATGATACTGATACACCGTCTTTTCGGCATGATTTCCTTTCAGCTATTGAAAAATTGATAGAATTATTCAAATTAAAATTTATCATAATTCCGCATTTAAGTGAAATAATAATAAAAATAATCTCACTAACTAGGAACAAAAATAATTCAAATGATTTTTTTGTGCACATTGATCTATTATTGCAAAATTTTTATTGCCAGGCAAAGAAATGGCGTCAAGTCGGTTCACTTTGCATTTCTCACGCGACACTATCAGTTCATACCCAGGTATACACAGGGTGTTTTCAAAGTTGAGACATTTATTTTAACTGCTTGTAGGACTTGTCAAAAGGAGTTTATATACCAAAAATCACCTATATACCAGCTGCATAATGAAAGAAATAGAAAAAGATTAAAATTTTTTGAAAATAAGCTTGTTATTACATATATTTTTTGATATTCTCGACCACTGCCGTGGCGTTTTTTGTTTACTACTCTTATTGTATATCTAAATTTGACAAACTTTTTGTGTTATTGTTTTCAGCTCGAGTCTTTGGTTCGATCAGTCTGATTTTTTGTTTTGCCAAGGTACTTGTTTTTTTTAAATTTATCACCCTGTATCTTGAAAAATCTTAATTTCCGGACTCATGTTTATAGAATCCTTTTTCATATGTTCTAACAAAAAAGATCTCCGTCTATTTTTCGAACACCCTGTATACTATAGGCGTGTGCCCGGTAATCAAGACGTTAAGATGCGTTCTTCCTAAAATCTGTTGACCTACTTTTGGAACACGAACTGCATAAAGCAAGAATTACATGTGCTATTGACAATGATATACAAACGAAAATTTAATTATTAATATTACAAAACTTACACGTACTCTAAGATGTGTGAGCACCAAAGTCCTGACAGTATAAGTTGCCGTTACTTCCTCTTTGCTTATTCTAACTTCGATAAGGCCATACGTTTCTGTCCCCTCCTTTGGCCAATACATATCACATTTTCGCTAAAATGTAGACACATCAAACAATTACGTACATGATGGTATGCAACCAATGCATCATAAAAGAATCGCAAGTTAAACTCGTAAAAATAGTATTGTCTAAATAAGCCTTCGTAAAATGATGCTCGTTACTGCGACGCACAACGGCAATACGAACGAGATATTGTCAAATATCTTCGACTTCAATGACTTCTGATCCACAACATACGAGGGTTGTCTAAAAAATAAGGTTCCCAACGCTGCATCTTTGCCGCGCGTGACGCTAGACGAAATCTGACAACACCGTCGTGTTGGTCGGCTCCCCCAGCACCGATCTCAACAAGAAGCGCCTGTTTACGATGCTCAGTACCGATCCAACAACCAGGTGTGAAATTCGTGCGGTTATCCGATTTTTGCAGGTAAAAACGTTACCACCCATAGAAATTCATCGCCACTTGAGTGAAGTAGATGGGGGTGTATAAGCATTCAACATGTCTTCAAATGGTTAAGAGAGTGCTCTGAAGGTCACACAAATATCCACGGTGAAAAACGAAGCAAGAGGCCGTCGATCTCCGAGGAAGTTGTGGTGAAAATTGAGCATATCTTGCTGCAAGATCGGCAAATTACGATCCGGGAACAGGCGGTTGAAATTCCTGAGCCTTCTGAAAAAGCTGAGACGAGCTTCCTTGGGGCGGGAGTGCAAAAGTGGATTTCACGTCTAAAAAAATGCGTAGAAGAAAATGACGACTATGGATAAAATTAGCGTAAAGATCACCGTTTCCAATGGTGAATTCGTTTTGTCAAATAAAAAATTCCATGTACCTAAAAATTGGGAACCTTATTTTTGAAACAACCCTCGTATTAACAAACTGCAGTTAAGTCAGCCATTTGACTGTGCGACAGTGTTGGAACGTAAAAAATATTTATTTAATCGAAACAAATGTAGAGGATACCTAGCAAGAAAAATATGAAATAGTGGAATCATAAGCTGTAACTGGTTTCTATCTAGAAAGTGTGTAAAAAATAGAATACAACAGTATTCCTCATCCTCACAAACTCCAGATTCCTAATTTTGATGTCGGTAATACAAAAACGTACAGCGAAATGGCGAACACGTATCATCTGATCAATGAAAGACAGTTTCCTTAGGTATATTTGGACAAATATTATTTTGACAAGTCTAATGTTTACAGAGTGTCCCACAATAACATGTCAATCTCACAAATGCATATAAAACACAAAACATAATGCCGTAAGTGCCTATAAAAATGTCATATGGGGCTCCTCTCTGAATGATGCTACTGGAAATAGGTTAATAATAATAACTTTTGAACATAATTTTGACAGCTTATTAACAAGCTGGTGAATGCCCCAAATTATGGTGAATGAACGTGGAAAACCAAGCAATATTGCTAAAAATGCTACACTTTGCATTATTTATTTATACATAATTACCCAACAGACTAATCCAACTACAGGGTAATATAATGCTAAGTCAACTAATAGTGTGCACATAAGCACCACATAAAATAAATTAGCTATTGTAATATTCCCCGAAGTTTGGCGAGATTTTACTGATAGAATCAAAATTAATGTCTGAACTGCCTGGTGGGGCATTATAATTGTTGTATATAGAATATAGCCGAGGATAAAATAATAGGTTGATACGGCAGGTACTGTAGTAGAAAGTTAGAGTCCTTCTGAAATTGAAAGACGGTATACAAACATTCAACCTCTGGAGAAGTGCATCCACTCTGTCGTGTAAAGCAGAATAAATCGACTGTCCCCTTTTCTGGATATGCACCATCAATTTTATAAGTAGAATATTTAGGAAATTTTATTTGTTCATTTTCTAAGATATTTATAATATGCGTGGAAAGGGTTCCATATCAAAGAAGCGTGACCAAGTTTTGATCGCAACAGCGAAATAAAGAGCCTTTAGTGCAGCTTCGTTGGAAAAAGAACGGCAGTTACGCATTATGAAACCGAGAATCCGTGTTGATTCGGAAGTGACGCGCGCTACATAGATATAAAAGTCCAACCTGTTATACAATGATCTTTAGCCTATGTTGTCCTCTCCAAAATCGCATTATTTATGTAATAATAAAAGATAATAGAGTTCATTTTGCGACTATATGAACAAACATTTGGGAATGTTTAAGAAGAAAATGTTATTATCACACCACTGTGCGATACTATCTAGATCCTCCTGAAGGGAAATATGGTTCTCTGAATTTGTAATTTTGGCGTAGATTTTCAGATCTTCAGTGACACTTTAGCGAAGCAATCAAGGTTATTTATGAGAAATAACAGTAAGGGGCCTAGGTTCGATCCTCGAGGCACGCCATAGGAAACAATAGAATTTGCTGAACAATAACCATCATAATACACATATTACGTCATTAGGTTTTTACCGTTCTCAAAGATAAAAGAAAAAATGGTAGTTTCAAAAGCCTTTGCAAAGTGGTTTAAAATGCTTATAGCTCTAACTATACATTGGATTTATCACCCTCTTTCGGAACTGGACAGACCTTTCTTCCAAACATCAAGAAAAAAATCAGTTTTTAATTGACATATTATTCTGGAATACCCTAAATTGCGAACGGAGAAAATCTAGTATGACCTTGAAAAATTAAAAAAAAAATTAAAACAAATTACTTACTCGTCCTCTTTCTACCAAATTCGTAATCATCACAATAATGGTAACCCTCTGTTCCCAGATCATTCTCCAGAAACAGTCAAATGTAGATGGTAGAGGACCTTGGGTTCCTATATAAGCTCTAGTTACTTGAAAACCATCTATATAGTTGGCATTTATATAGGTGGACACCTTCTGTTCTGGTAGAGTGAGCAATCGGACTCTCGAATGATCATCTAGAAAAAAGAATGAGCAGCTCAAACGTACTTCCCACACATTTACATTGCTTAATATACTCATTTGAATTTTTGGTACTATGATTAAATGCATTGCAACATTTTGCACTGCGTGCAAACCTCGGAGCCGATGTCGCTTGTACTGTCTTTTTCACTAGTATCCATTATGGTAGAATAACAGCTGAGTATCTAGTAATATTTCAACATACAATTCTGATGGATGCGTCAAAGCTAAGTAGACAGAGCCATATACTGTTGAATTTTTTGTACCCTACAGATTCATTTTGAAGTTGCTAACAACTCTTGTATTTAGAAAAGTTCCTTCGCATACAAAAAATGCTACAAGCAAAATTCGTATCGCTTTAGAAAGTACCGACACCCTAAAATATCGGAATAAAAATATCGATACCACGAGTATCAAAACTTTTCGATACGGAACATACACTGCTGAAAATCGAAGTTGTTTTTTCTACAATCCTCAAAATAAGTTTTAATTTTTTTAACTGCATGACTACTAGATTGTCGAATACGTTCATAAAAATAAATAAAAAACCTCACACTTGCATAACTTACATCTCCCACCTAAACTCGATTTTTCAAAATAGCTTCTTACAGGAGGCATTACTATCACAATAATGTTTTGTTATAATGTTTTATCAATCAGTACTAAAATCACTGTGTGTCATGTGTATGTAATTCCCTGGAACCGAATCCCACAGGATTCCCAGGTTGTTTAGCTCAGTTTCCCCAGTCGAAATGTAAAAATCCCCTAAATTCAGGACTTTTGAAAAAATCCCCAAAAATACCATTTATTTTTGTTACTGTTGCTTTACATTTGTTAGGTATTTTTAGATCCTGAAATATTTTTTTTGAGCGACATGTTTTTTGTATGTTGCTAAATACCCCAAAAGGTAAAAGTATTTGTTTCGAATTGAAAGACAAATAATTACATAACAAGTACATTATTTAATGTCATTAATGAAATTTTACATAATATTACCTCCCCAGTAAAATATGTTTTCCCAAAAGAAATCCCAAGGAAAAAATATCCCCAAAATATTCCCCAATGAAATAAAAATCTCCTGATTTAAATAAATCATGTGAGGTCGTAAAGTAGAAGGAAGAAGAAAAGTAATCAGAAGTTAGTCACCCTTTTTGCCACAGTCCAGATCAAAATATAACAATACTCGTGAAATGTATCGATACAGCCAAGTATCGTATATAAAAATATCGATCCAAAATTTCGGGTAGGTAGAAGCAAAAGTATCGAAACTTCTAAATATCGGATCGTATCGAACATCCCTACTGCGCCTAAGTCTGGAGCAAGTCCTGATAGCACACCGTCACTCGTTTTTAGAGCACAATAGAAAAAAATGTTTCACAAAAAAATCTATACGGACAAGCAAATGACTCGTGCGAGTTCAAACTTGTACTGAAGGCGGATCACATGTTCCCCTGTTTACCTTCCGAGCCCCGCGTCTGCAGTGTTGCCAGATCGAACGCTACGTTGCCAGTCTCATCACTTAATTTACAGACCTAGTATATTATTTTTTCTGGAAAGGAAACACAGTCTGTTTTACTGACTTACCTCGTAATCAATAAATCCCAGATGTACTATAATAATTTTCTAATAAACATTTTTCTATGTGTACTTCGTATATTTTGTCAAAATTCCTAGTGACTAAAGATATCTAGATATGTGAATACGATCCTGAGCTTTACTGATACAAAGATGTCGCTGATCAGCTGTTTACTTCAGTTGATGTCAAAACGTAATAGATACCATAGGGGGGTCAACTCATAAGGGATAATGGAAAACAGTGCAGTGTTGCCGAACAACAACCTGACAACACTGTTGGCATCCAGAAAAAATGGCGGCTTTGACAAGTATGACGGTTTATTACTATCATTTTTAGTTAACCTCTATTTTAACACACGACAAATTCAGTAGATTTCAGGTGAACAATATTTATAGCTTAAAAAAAGTCAGATATCCTGATAATATATAGTCAACATATAAAAACTTATATGAAGTAAGATATATTTTAACGATGCTGTAAAAATGTTTAAGTTATATATAATTATATTGTCCATAAACATTTACATTCTGGTTATCAATGTTATGCAAATGTGGTTAGATATTCCTATATTATAATTCTTATGGAAAATCTGGTAACTCTAGCAACCTTGCAGTCGTTAATGATAACTATTATTTCTTTTGAAAATAATTTGATTTCATCACTAATTCTAACAATTTTTCCATGCAGGTGCTGCAGAAAGCCATCAACAGGAATGAAAATATTTGGACCATAAATACTGATATGTGCATATGTGCAATATAAAATTTAGATACAAATATATTCTCAAGTATAGATTTTTTTACTGTTGTCAAAATTTCAAATATGGGATATATGGATGATTTTATAATGGCATGTGTTATTGACGCCGGCAACGTCGCATGCGGCGTACGTGCACGATCTGGCAACCATGTGGCATACAGAAAAAATGGCGATTGACACTGACATAAATCTCCTAAGTTGCCCTATGGATAGCACGTGACTAAACCTTCGTCAATGTATATGTTTTGTGATAAATACTCGTGAAACGTGTAATATGTATCTGTTTTCCAATAAAGTACCTGCAGAATAAAAATAAAAAATACTTACATGCTATAATATTTAGGTATCTATTCTTAGGTTTATTATCAGGGTGTTGTGAATGTTCCGAGCTATTCGCATCATTCACAGCATCGTTTTGAATAGCCTCATATTGTTTACTAAACCCTATGTCACCATCACTGTGGAGTCGCTGTACATGTTGTGGAAAGTCTTTTACGGCAATTGGTCCAGTGTACTCGGCCTCGGCCTCAGGGTCTGTTGGGGGTTCGTTCCAATCTAGGGGTGCTGGGGTACATTGGGGGCTGTCTAAATAATAATAGGGAGCACGAAAACATCTTCTGTAAAGAGAAAAAAAAATGCATTAGAAATTATTGTTGAATGATAAATTTTCCTGAATATGACCTTAATGGACAGTACAAGTGCCCTAAACCAGACTTCTTCCCTAGTAATGTGAGTTCTAGTCCATTTTGGTAAAATGTCGCTCACATAGTAGACGTAACTATGAGATGTACACGTTTTCCAACAATATCAAATAATGCTTTTTGATTTCAGAAGGTTTGTAGATGTCGTCCTTTCGCAAGAACGTTTTTTTTTTAGTATCGCACTCATTGAACCTGCAATCTCTTAATCTCCATTATTATCAAGTGTAAATAGTAGCTTGGACATATCCATCTACGATTATGTGTTTTGATAGTGGCAGTGATGCAATTTTCATTATTATTCCTAGATACTTGCAGATAAGCACCATACAGGGTATATTTTGGGAATAATGATCGGATATATCAATTCTGATATCAAGTGAGACGTCTTTTCATCTATAGCCGTACAATACAGGGTAATCCAAAAATAAGATATTGCGTTACACTTTAGATTTTTAAATGGAAACCACCATTTTTAAATTTTTTAGATATTCCATGAAGTTTTTAGTAATTTTTGTATGATAAAGTTTATACATATCTTCAATCGTTGTGAAGCTATTTTAGTTTATAACAAAATTGGACTAACTTGATACTGATAATGATAGAACGCACGGAAAAAATAATAATCATAATATTTAGCATCAGTCAGTGTCATTGTATGTCATAGAAAAACTCTCTTTTATTTCAAATTGTTACCTACCTAGTTGTGGATATATATTGAACAATGACATTGAATTCAAGAAACTATATTAGCAAAATGGGAGCATTGCAAGAGCTACTGCCCGGTTGTTTAATCAGAAGTATGATAAGGGAATTCAAAGAAACTGGATCTGTGTCTACGAGGGATGTCCTTTAAGTCTTGCATATAGAAACATAGTAGGCCGCGCGGATCGAACGTCAGTACTGAATCTTAACCTCACTCTTTAGTAAACTTAAATTCAAAGTTTCACAACAATACGTGCAGTGTTCTCACTACAGTAAATTTTTAAGTATCACCAAGTCATTACGAAAATGGAACTCAACCGAGAACATTTTCGCGCCATAATTTATTACAACTTTCAGAGACAATTATCGCAACAAGGATGCCTTGCTGAGTTACTGTCTGTTTTCGGCAACGAAGCGCCACATCAGTCGACAATTTCCAGTTGGTATGAAGATTTCAAACGTGGACGGGTGAGTCTTAGCGATGATCCCAGGGTGGGTGCACCAAAAACGGCAGTCACCCAGGAAAACGTCGATGCTGTGCGCAAACTCATCATTGAAGATAGACATGTGAAGATCTCAAAGACCTCAATTAAAAAAAATTTACATAAAGAATTAGGAGTAAGAAAATTAGTTTCTCCTTGGATACCCCACCTGTTGACTGAAGAGCAGAAAGCAGCCAGGGTTAATTGGTGCCAAAAAACGCTTGACCGTTTCAATTCCGGAAACTCAAAAAATGTGTACAGCATTGTTAGTGGTAATGAATCTTGGAGTTACTGTTATGAACCAGAAAATAAACGACAGTCGGCTGTTTGGGAGTTCCAAGGTGAAGAAAAGCCAACAAAAGTCATCCGTTCTCGAAGTGTTTCGAAAAAGATGGTCGCGACATTTGTGTCAAAAGCGGGTCATATTGCAACAATTCCTCTTAATGAGCAAAGAACTGTTACTGCGGATTAGTATACCACCATTTGTTTGCCAAAAGTCATCACCGAGCTTCGAAAAATCAACCCCCCGCAAGAAGAATCATCCTCCACCAAGACAATGCAAGCTCGCACACAGCCGAAAAAACAAGGCAGTATTTAACGGAAGAAAACGTGGAATTATTGGACCATCCTCCTTACAGTCCCGATCTAAGTTCTAACGATTTCTTTACTTTCCCGAAAATTAAAAACAGACTGCGAAAATTGGTTCTAGCGCATGCATATGTGTATTAATCTTCGTGGAGAATACTTCGAAAAAGTCATTTAAAACTACCTACCGTGTCGTTTTATTTCCATGTGCAAAACTTAAAAGACATCCCTCGTAATATTCGCTGTAATCGCCATGGAAAATCGACCAGTTAGAAATGAAGCCGAAGAAACAGCAGTTTTGGGACACGTTGCACTTGACAACACCCAAAGCATTCGTGCACTGGCTACTTCTTCAGGATTTACAGGCTCAACAGTACAAAGAATTTTGGAAGACAATAAATTTCACCCGTACAGAATAAAGCTTGTCCATGAGTTTAATGAAGACGATTTTGATAGAAGGTTGGAGTTTTGCGAATTAATGTCCAAACGTTCAATCGACAATGCAAATCTGTTATTTAATATTAGTTTCTCGGATGAGTGTACAATCTATTTACATGTTGCTGCTAAATAGATATAAATGTCGATATTGGAGTGGCTCAAATCCACATTTGTTTCGAGAGGTACACTCGCAATATCATGAAAAAATGTGTGGATCGGCATTTTCGGAAATCATATTGTAGGACCTTTCTTTATTCCTGAAAACCCGACGGGCGAGACATACTTGGACATGTAAGAAAATACAATAGAGTCACAAATTACAGAAATAATATAAAATGACGTTAATTATAATGAAAATTACATTCATTTCCAACACGATGGTGCACCGCCGCACTATGTGGATCCAGAACGACAATAATTGGACACCAATTTCCTGAATCAGTGGATCGGCAGACGAGGCCCCATCGAGTGGCCGCCGAGATCACCGGACCTAAGTCCTTTAGATTACTTTCTTTGGAGGCATTTGAAAGGTTTTTAGTACGAAGCCAGACTCCATTTAAGATCTTCGTCAGCGGATTACGGCTGAATGTAGACAAATAACTCAAGACATGCAAGAAAAACGTCATTTCAACTCAAACATGTATATTCATAATTAACAAACGCTTGGCACATGTTTCGCAGTATTTTATTTTGGCTAGTGTGTAAGAAATATCCATGATTCGCTGTGTTGTTACTTACAGCGAGGCTAAGATGTGAACGTCCCGTGTGAAGAATAGTTTTCCCAGGACTCCCGCAGACTTGACTTTTCAGGACTGCAGGGAACCCCTGTTTGTTTGAGTTCCACCTCATTTGTAGAGATGGCAACGTTTCCTCATCTGTGCCTAAACCTAGAATTAAAGAAAACGTGGCTCAAACCAGGATCTTTTACTTAACGTAGATTCATTATAGGCCTTTACTAACATTCCACAAAATACAGCGCGTAACAGAAGTGAGTTTGGTTCTTTGTATTCTACAAAAACAGTTCATATATAGTGTTTTAAAAGTAAAATGTTTAAGTGGACGATTCTTGTATTTATGGGAAAAACTGCATATAAACGTCTTCTAAATGTCACACATTTTGACATGCAGTGTGGTAAAGTATCCATGAAATATCTCATTTTGTAATATCCGTGATGGCACTTTGGATATTTTAATCAAATTGGTATGCACTAAAACGCATATTCTGATGTTATAATTTTTTTTATCTATTACTCCGCGCGCTTTTTTCATATAAGCGGGGTTTTCGGCAGTGAAAGTCACACAGATTTCAAGTTGATCGAATATATCAAATCTTAATATTTTAGAATATACTATATGTATTTTAAACTTTCGTCAATATTTGTCTTCACACTTCAGTAATGATAGTTCTTTAAAAGCCCAATCTTCGCAATTTTAGCATTTTTTGTCCAAGATTCACCCATTTTAGAATATTCAATTTAGTATTTTTTAACTTAGCGCAAGATCACAATAGTTTCTGGTTCCAATCTATAATAAAACACAGAATACATATAAAAATGCAAGTGTAGGTCCATTGCGCTCACAATAAAGTTTAAACAAACTATGACACAATTATAATGAAACTTCAACTATTGTTTTTAATTTTTATACATCTTTTCTGTCTTTTATCACAGATTTGAAATAGAATGTTTGCGGCCCTGCGTTCATATCAAAATACTAAGTTGAAAATTGGTGAATTTAGGACAAACATGACAAAATTGCGAGGTTTGGGTGTTTTAAAGTGCAATCAAGTGCTATAAAAAAATGTTGATGAAAAACTAAATTATATAACTTCTGAAAATATTTGAAGGTAAAAATTTTATAAAAAGATCAACTTGGAATCTGAGTTATTTTCGTTGCTAGAAACCTCTCTTGTAGACCTTGATTCTATGATTTTTCCATTTTCTTTCCACCAACTTGTGATTTTCGCAGAAACTCGCAATAAAACGATTTTATATTTTCTCACGCGAACACCTTAAATTGGCGCAAAGACAATCAAGAGATCAAAAGATAAAGTGATTGACTACGAAAATGTGTCTTACGAAAGAAATCAGTGGCGTACCATGTTTTAATATAAAACTATTCAGTTCTAATGGAAAACTTTACCACCATGCATGTCAAAACGTAAAAGGTTTAGGAAATACGTTGATATCGAGTTTTTTATTAAAATAAACCCAAGAATCGCCTCATTAAGCATTTTACCTTACCCTCTATATAAAGGAACTGCCTCATGAGTCAAGTCATCGCTTATGTTACACCCAGTATGTATGTTGAGTTTTATATTCTGTATACTATTTAAATAGTAAATTATAATAGCCGTTCACAATAACAAACATCTACACTTACCTGGTCAAAAATTGCGGATCTAGTATGCCTTATTAAAGAAATATAGAAACATATAGAATTTTGCTGCTTGTCAGGTTTTATATTTAGACACAAAATAAATACACGCAAATATTCCTGCCAATCAATATTTTCAAATGTATTTTATCTTTTAAAAAAATATGATACGTATAGCAAGAGCAATTCTTCCGTAACTTAAAAGATTTGGGGAAAAATGGAAGATGTCGGTGAGTTCCCAAATTATGCTGGGTTAGTTCTTGCGTTCCGAATTAACAAAGAATTAACCAAAAAGCAACGTGTTTGGGCTCTAAAAGTTTGTATTAGGCAATTTTAAAGGGGCTTAGCGTTGGTCAGCAGGCTGCATAAAATTTCGAAAATGTACCAATACTAATAATTTTGCTATGTCGAAATAGAATATCCAAATATACACATGATCCATAACTACGTAGCAAACCCAACTGATATTTTTGTGTATTTTTGGGTTCCAGAGACGTCTCATAAGAATGTATTTAACATTTAGTTGGAGTAAGTGAAATATATACAGAATATGAAACTCAACATGAGTATATTTTGTAAATGCTTGCAGGTTTTACTGGTTTGAGCTACATTTTCTTTATCGATGTTTAAGCACAGATACAAGTCACACGCACATGTTACGCAACATGTGCCTGTATATTGTTGATAAAGAAACATTATTGGCCAAGCGCATGTGCCGCAACAAGTTGAAGATGGTCAGAACATTTGACATATGATGGACATTTACTTTTATATCCGCAACACTGTCCATACGTAAGTGCTGAGCACATGTAAGCTGAAATGTCCAAGAGGCAAGTTGCTGCATATGTTGCGCGCCAAAATCGCTAGGCACATTTTTGTCGTCGGAACTTGTTCCGCAAAATGTTGAAAATTCCTGGCACATGACGCAGCTTTTGTTCCAGAGCAAATTTGTCGAATTGTACGTCTAGAGTCAGGCTATAAATTGATCACCTCTAACTTTTTTTATATGACCTAGAAGAAAAAGTATATAAAAGTCATAGGGTCTAATATGAAGTTTTTCATGTAATATTTTTTTGTATACAGGGTCTTAGAAAAGTGCTATCGAATCAAGTTATATTTTTTCAAATGGAATACCCAATATATTTTCAGGTAAAATGATAGTTCCTTATTTTCTGGTTCGAAATATATATGGTATAGTGTCGGAATACATATGATTAAATTACTCACAAACTTCAAGTTTTTTTACTAAAGTAATAAAAATAAGTTTAACTAACACTATACATTTGGAATCAGAAAAAGGGACTATCAGTTTCACAAGTTTTCAAAAATACAACACTATTCGATAGCACATTTCTGAGACAACTGGTACTATTTTTGTAATACACGAAAAACTACATACACCTATAACTATTATATACCTACCACTTTTTCTTCAAGAAGCTCATATAAAAAAGTTAGAAGGGGGGCAATTTATAGCCGTACAACTCATTTTTTGTTGATATTAAATAGCATTACACTTGAACATGCTACAGTTCAGTGCAGCACTACTGGTGAGACTGGTACTGAGTGAAAAAATTAAAAAACACCCAAATATCGATTTTTCTCGTTTCAATATATATCGATTTGTGAAAAATCGGATTTTAAAGAAGTAAATAATCGATTTTTGTGGAAAATTCGATTACTCTATTTTCACACGAATCAAAAACTAAAATAAGAAGTATTGATGGATTGATATATGTATATCCTATTTAAGGGAACATTTTGAAAATATACAGCATTACACATTGTCGCAAATTTCATCCGCTGATCAATATTGTTTTTTTTCATGTTTCATGGCAGTTTGGATAGGATCTTATGAAAGAATAATATTGATAAGGCATTCTGCAGAGTGTTGATTACTCTAAGTTACAAGCTTTCCGATTTTAAAAAACGCTCAACTTTGACCTCTGGTCAGCCCGCGTTTTGTGCAAAAGATTATCTTTGTCCTCCTTCATTTCCAAGTAAATATACTCTTTGAAAGATTTAATCAGTGTCTACAGGCTGATAAAAAGCATACTTTTTTCTCTAAAAAAAATTCAAATTTATTTTTTCTTTTATGTCTTCAAAAATCGACTAAAATCTGTAATCCATATATGTAATCGACTTGATAATCGATTATTAAAAACTGAAAAACAATGAAAATTCATTGTATTAGAGTGGAATAAATGAGGTTTGAACATATTAAAATCATATGAATTCTTTCGATCTTTCGAGAGTTTTATCCGCATATATCCAATTACCAATGTTTCATTGCAGTTTGGAGTACAGAGTATTTATTACAATTACTAAGTTGTTGAGCTACAAGCTATATACAATTTTGTAAAGAACACTCAACTTTGATTTCTCGTCAGTCCGCCACAAGAAGATACTGAAACGTGTTTTGTGTTAAAATATTTTCTTTGTCCTCGTTTCGTTTCCGATTAAATCTACTTTTTGGAAAATCTAGTTTCTACAGGGTGATGAAAAGCATCCTTTTTTCTCGCCAAAATTTCAAATTTATTTTTTCTCTTTATTCATCGCAAAAAATTCTGCTGTTTCAAAAATCTAAAATATGTAGTCCATGTAATCGAATCGATTTGATAATCGATTATTATTATTATTAAGGGAATCGATTAATAAAAATACAAGAATAAATAATGAAAATCGACAATTTTTTAACATTAATGTCTCCTAGTGGCCAGTAGTCGATGAATGTGGGGGCAGGCAGCGACAAGCAAACAAAAGTGGCAATCGAGGGTTCATGTTTATTTCGAATTGAATCTAGTTTTTCGAATATTTACTTAGTCTCTAGAGTGTGATAAAATGAATCATTTTTTCCAGCCAGAATTTCAAATTTATTTTTCTCTCTAAAACCCTGCCTGTCTCCAAAAATCGACTAAAATATCCATATAATCGATTTGATAACACATTATCATCATCATTATTATTAAGAGAATCGATTATTAAAAATTGATTATAAGGAAGAATAATTAAAATCCGTTATTTTTTAATATTACTATCCCCTAGTGGCCACAGGTCCATGAATGCCTGGGCAGGCAGCGACAAGCGAACAAAAGCGGCAATCGAGGTTCATGTTTGTTTTGAAGCGAATGAGGTTTGAACAAATCAAAGTCATAAGAATTCTCTCGATCTTTTGACGGTTTGGAATGCCATGTGACATGTCAGGCAGCAGTGTGGCATCCAACATTTTGAGGAGTCAGGGTTCGGATCACAAATCAAGTCTTGCAGCACCTGTACAGAGTTGCCATTTATATTCCATGTGATCCTAGTGTTGTATAGTGCCTGTGGTAACATATTGTATATTTATTTAAAAACACTAGTGTTGTTTAGTACTCATGGTAACTTAATGCATATTTATTTAAAAACAACTTCCTTTGGAGCTGGAATTAAAGCATTGTTAATCACTTCTCAAGACGTATACAAAGTGTCCTAAAATATATGCGAATTTATCCGATCTTTGTATAATTCATGAAACTTTTGAGTCTACTTTTACAGGAACCTGCAATACTTTTTGGTATTGTACACATATCAAAATGAGTGTACACATATTTCGGGGCACAATGTGTATATAATGAGAAATATATACTCACTTATATATAAGATATCCTAGTCCTGTTAAAAATAAGCCAACAGAGGCACACAACATCCCTGCTAATATTCCTACACCAAGTTCACTTGTGGCTCTTGTGAAATAATCCATAGGTTCCTCACAATCTTTCCTCAATATTATCTCCATTGGTGTTGATACTGCTCCACCTATGATCCTACCAGTTCGATTACTTCTGGAAGCTGCTTGTACTTGGATTTTATAGACCGTATTTACCTTTAAATCTTTTAGTTTATACTGGAACAAAGAAGATTACACATGCATGGTATTTTTTATTTTAGTGATGTTATAAGTAAGCTTAACAAAAATTACTACTTACTGTTAATTGTATATGTTCCCGACTTGTTGAAATGGTGATATTATCATAAAGCTTGTTTCCGAGGATCACAAATAAATAGTAGTAGTCAATGTTGAAGACATACACTTCTGGTCTCTGCCAACGTATTACCATGCTGTCATTAATTTGACATTCTAGAGCTATTATTTTTGGTGCACTAGGGCCTGGATTGTCTGTATAGGCAGTGATGGGCTGTGAAAGAGGACCTTCGTGACGATGAGTGAACGCTTTCACAGCTATTTTATACTCAGTCATTGGCTCTGGAAATAAAGAATTTTTTTACAAACACCTTACTCTTGTAATAAATGATGTAGAAAATTCATTAAGTACTGTTACTGATATACAGTGTGTTAATGATAAGCCATACATTATGACAGGATTTCAAAGTTTAAACAAAATCTCCCTGTTGACTGAGAAAAAATAATAGCAAACTGCCACAGAACGTCAAAAATATGTTTATAACAACAAAGTATATTCCTTAGCAATGATCAAAAGTGATTTGATTTACTATCAACAATTTTTTGACATGTAGAAAAAGTTGCTTTTATTTTATTCCTCAAACACAAAGTGGGAAACAAAGAGACACCAAGAGACAAAAAAGTTGTATTATTAAAATCAAGTAGAGTTTGAACAACAATGCTATAACAAATCCATTTTTGCAGTTTTTATAAAAACAAATTGTTCAGCAGCAGTCAGCATAGCTAGATTCAAGGGTGATCTTCAATTACAGCTCTTCACCCATTTACACAAAACATTTTAAGCTACATGGAAAATAAGCATTTAGCAGTGAGGTTATTTCTTGACCTTTTTAAAGCAGATATGGAATGAGGGCTGATACATTTTCCTGGGTAAAATCCTATCTTACAAACAGGAAACAATGTGTAGCGATAAAAGAAGATAATACCGTCATCAAGTCAGATTTCATTTGTAATGAGGCAGGTATACCACAGGGAAGTATGCTAGGCCTCATATTATTTGTCATACTCATCAATGGTCTAAAAGACAGAATTCACAACTCATTAGTGACAAAACTACCACTGGATTGGAACATAATGGTCAGCAGGAGTTTGAATCAATGAGGAACTGGTTTGCAATGAATAAACTTGTACTAAATAAGGACAAACCTGATTTAATAATATTTAGAATAAAGCAATCACACATTGATATACCAATATCCAACTAAGTCAGCAAACTATAGCATTAGGAATACATTTAAACAAATTTGTCTTAGGATCTACAAATAAAAATGCCTTGAAACTGAGTAGCATCAGCTATGGAATAAGCGTGTTGTCTAGGTATATAAATTCAGAATGTTAAAAAATTGTATATTGTCAAAATTTTGAATCAATTTTTCATAATGGAATAATACTGTTTGGAGGCAGCTCAGAACTCAGAAAAATTATTTGTTATTCAAAAAAGGACCATGAGAGCACAGAAACATGGAATTTAATAAAACATGTAGAGGCATATTTAAGTCTATAGGTTTAATGACATTATATGTACTTTTCATTTCTGAATGTGTCATGTTCACAGTGAAAAATGGAAACAATTTTGCCATGCGAAATGATCACACATACAGTACAAGAGCTCTGAATTTTTTGCGAAAAGTAGTAAAATAAACTACTAAATCACTTACAAGCAATGATAGGTAAGGAATCTTCAAAAAAAACCTGAAACAGGTTTTAGTTCAGGTGGAAAGATAAAGCATTTCTGAATACATAAGTTTTCATTTTAGTTTTTGCATGGGTATAATCATCATCTATGTCATTCATACATATTATGTATTTGTGATTGCAGATTTGAAATAAATATTATTATAATTGGTTTGTTTGTACTGCACTGATCCAGATCTGTCCTTTTCATTATAGATGGCATTCTATTGCAGCCATCCTGACTAATCGGTCAATCAGTATGCTGCATCTATGCACTACCTGCTGAAGTTTGTTTTGACAACTGCATGTTGAAAATGGATCAGATAGATACATTTGACATACAACTGACTTACCAAGCTTTGTGAGGTTGTATTTCACAACTGGTTCCGCAAATGGGACACTTTCAGGTACAACATCTGTCATATTCTTTTTGGTAAAGTATACCCTGTACCCTTCAATGACTCCATTTCTTCTAACTGGATTGTGCCATTGCAAATAGATGCTGGTTGATGTGAAGTCCACCACAGTCAAATTTGTAGGTTCCTCAGGGACTAAAACATAAGTAGGTGTGACAATACTTGTGGTAGGATTTTGAAATTCTGTCGGCTCCGTGGTGGTGTAAGCATCTATCGTTGTCTCTTGGGCTGTGACCCCGCAAATAGCGACGAGTATATAAACAAAAACATGACCCATTCTAACAAATTTTGAAATCAATCGGCTTGGATGCAGATCGTTGCGAGGCCTAAGCCGATGTTTGAGGTCATTTTTGTAAAGGTTTGGTGAATCTGAAACGGGTCAAACACAGTCCTCTTGCAGTTAATAACCACATCACTTCAATTAACGCTAAAAACACAGGAAACAATACTTGATATTGTTTATTATGTAGAACACCACCCAGCGGTACTGTCACAAAAAAGAAGAGGGGATCATCAGCGAATTCGACAGACGAAACCGGGTTACAGCGTTGCCAGATCTCCCGGGAATAAATCATGGACCGGAGGAGGGTGTCAAGTAGGTTCATTTATTACTTCCCACGCACTCTTTCGGTAATTCTACAGTAGATAATGCTGCTGCACTCTTGGAAATCGGTGCAGTGGCGGCAGAGATAAGGACGAAAAGACAAATCGAAAACTTTACCAAACCTTGTTTCTTAGTCACATTAGAGCATTATAAATATATCGTTTTGGGTGGGTAGAGTTTATTTACCTATTGTGAATTGATTGGAAGTTTCTCGACTTTTGGCAGCGGTATTACGTAACTTGAAAAGTAACGTTATGCCCATTTTTGTTTGAAATTATGTGGGTTTCTTGACATTATGTAGGCTTTCCTCCAAGACGTCAACTTGGAACTAGCTGTCGCTCACATGTAGCAAGCGCGGAATAAACTATTTGCACACTACCCTAGTCAACAAGTTGACATTTTAGCAACTTTGTTTGATATGGGTCATTAGGTAAAAAACCTATATACTGTAAAAAACGATGAACTGTCGACAATCACAAGTGAAAACCTGATTAATGTCAAAAATTGATGTCACTTTTCAAGTTAGGTAATACACCTGCTGAAAGTCCAGAAACTTTAAATCTATTCAAAATAGGTAAATAAACTCTGAAGCATCTATTGTATAATGACGAAGAAGTTTATGTGACTACAGTAACAAAAACGCTTTCCCACAACCCACAGACAGATCTACAGAAGTTATCATTGCCGTTTATCAACAGATGGAATTCTTTAAGTGTTGAATCATTATCCTACGCCTGGCAATGTGGCTCGGCGAGCTTTGCAACAGCGTTGCCAGACTCAGAAAGCTTTGACAGTGCTTCCAAAAGTACAATATCACTGAAGATGTGACTAAAGAGTAGTTATATCACATCCAAATTATGGAGGGGTGGATTCTTGTCGTTTTTGTGTCTTTTGTCACTGAAACCGAAACCAAGTGTGCTATTTCATGGCGGTTTCAGGTCATTGTGAATGATGCCATTTTTTGTTTGTCCTCCTCATTATCCGATGCTTTCCAACATACAGTTCAAAGTTTGGAATTTGGCGCCCTTTTTGAAAATGTAAAGGTTACCATTCAACCTGTAATGCCTGTTATGATGTTATGAAAGCGTAAAGAACATTTCAATAACTATAACTCAGAGGCCTATATAGTAACCGCCGCATCAATGATACTGGGTCCCCAATTTACAGGGGATCAGACGTGTGAAAACATAAATGCCTACAGTGTTATCTTGAATCTCTGGCAAGTTTTTAGGCCTACTCATCTGATCTTGTAGCTAGCTAATAATAATATGCTGCTTATTTTTGACCCTTTGATTGCTGTTAAATAAATTCATGAATAAAATGATAGAAGAATTCGATGAATTTCTTCAAGGTAACAGCGAAATTGCATGATCAAATTTGGTCAAGTCAAGCATACCAACACATACATATATACAATATTTCAGCAGTATCCATCACGCTTTGACGGCTACTGAGGTGAACAGCTGATCAGCAAGTGACATTTTTGTGTTAATGAATCGGGTGTAAATCTGAAAAAACTTGTTTGTAGCGTTTTGTTTTTTGTATGCAAACGGACTTTTCTAAATAAAAGAGCTATTAGCAAGTACAAAATGAATCTGTAGCGTACAAAAAACAAAACAAAATACGAGCCTGGACTATCCGACGTTCGTGGATCCGTCAGAATTATGTGTCCTGTGCCGATATGGGGCATTTTAAGATATTACTAGATAATGAGCAGTCACTCTACCGTGATGGATACTCGTGAAATAGGGTATAGTAATTTCCTATGATACCAACCTCAGGGAAAAAATACTGAAACGTGACCTATACCTATTTCACGAGTATTCATCACGGTAGAAAGACAGCTGGTTGTCTAGTAATATCTCAAAACTCCCCATATCTGCACAGGACAGATAATTCTGACGGATCCGTCAACGTCAAGTAGTTAGAGTCGTATTCAGTTTTGTTTTTTGCACGCTACAGATTCATTTTATACTTGCTAACAGCTCTTTTGATTAGAAAAGTTCATTTGCATACAAAAAACAAAACGCTACAAACAAGTTTTATTAGATTTACACCCGATTCATTATTGCCAACGTCGCAGACTAATACAAAGATGTCACCTGCTAATCAGCTGTTCACCTCAGTAGACTTCGAAGCATGATGGGTACTCGTGAAATAGGGTATATGCACAATGAACCTAACCAATGAAAATATGAGGGTATATAGGACAAAAAAAACAAAAGTAAATAGAATTTCTCAAAAAATTGACGGAAAATTAGAACAACCTCTATCTGACATTTCATTCATGAAATTATTGTTGCGAAGAAATTGTCAATTTTTATGTTTACACGCTCCAACTTCTTCAAAGTTAAAAAATTGTAAAATTTATTGGATGGTGTAAAAAGTATATTACAACTGCAACAGCTGAAAGTAGGGGCGGATTCAGGGGGGTTGTGAATGGGGCTTAAAACAATTTCTAACGTGTTTTTCAATTTTGAGTCACTGATAATTCTCCGCGGCGGAAATCTTCCTGAACGTGAACCCTGAGCATCTCCTCCAGCACTTTTTTGAACGGATAATTTAAATTCATTGATATGGACTCCACAAATTTTTTTCCAGATTCTAGTTATGTAGGTCTACCTGTGAACCCTAACGCTGAGCTGACATCGAATTCGAAATCTACGCACCAGATTTACCTAAAAAAGAAGCTTTTGACTGGATCATAGACGCGCAACAGTTTTTGGAGAATTTTTACTAGTCGTTTTTTGACAAAGTAGAATTCTTGGCAATATCTAGAAAACGAGGCATTTCCGGACTGAATGGGCCCCGGTTCCCATTTTAGCGACCCAAAAAACGTATTTTAAGAATGGTTAGGCTCACGTTCCCGACTGATTCATTTCTTGCCTTTTGTGTAACAAAAAATTAAAATGCTTTAGAGGCGGTTCAAATGATCTCTATTGTACGTATTTTGTGTTGCTTAATCCGAATCCGAAGTCATTTTACATGTATCTGATCCTGTTTATGATGTAGATCTAATTATTTAGCGAAACATTGCAAATATATGCTTGTTTGCGGCTTTTATTATCGATGGCAACATGTGAGCGAAGTTTTGTACAATAAGGTAATTTGGGGCGCTGAATACGAGTATCAGAGTGCAAAAATTCTAGTGTCATTTGACCTGATTTGGGGTGAAACATTTGTAAAGAACGAGTTATCTGGGCCTACCCGTGAATCCTTGCACTGGACTGACATCGAATTCGGAATGTACGCACCAGATTTACCTAGAAATCAAGCTTCCCTATAGATTAAATAGATTGTGCATTTTTCGATATTTCTACAAAATCATGGTAGTCTCATTAATGATTTAACAAAGGTATGGTAATATTTGGTGCTTATATGTAAGCAAGTTTTTGAAGTTATTTTATTTTATGTGTTTAATCCCACTGTTCGTCTGTTCTTAGACAGCTTCAATGCAGCGCTACAGCGCACGAGTGCAGATTGGAGTAACAATATTCTCCCGAGCGTATTTTAAAGGATGCAACACTTCAGGGTTCAAGAGGGGTGCTCAGGGGATCCAAATGTGTACCTTCCTCACGCTCATGCTATATAATTTCTAGAATCAACGCATCTGGCGAATTTTCTCCGCTAGGTTTTTCGTTTGCCGTTGGGGAATTGCTGTTTTGCTTATTTGCTTTTCTTACCCTTCCTGGTAAACACATGAGTTGTTTTAGAATTGAAAGGTTAAGGAAAATGAAATAATAGAAATAACCCAGGTAGCACAAGCACCTGAAAATGACGTTACAAACTGGTTATGAAATGACAAGAAATCACGGGTTGAGTGACTTAAAAGAAACGTGAAAATGACCTCATAATGAAACATACACCGATGACATCATATGGCAGACGTCAAGAATACATCATATGCTGGACGTGAAGGTGATGTCTGTTATTTATAAGGAATAACCAGTCTTAGCTCCTTCAAAAAATAATATAGCGTATGCTAGCAGTAGTATTACGCAGAAGAAGCACCATAAAAATGGACGTCATAATGACGTCTACTAAATGCCAACCAGTGTCACAATGTATAGTATACTATGGTGCTCCTTATATGTGTAATATAATATGTATATCATTTTTTTTAAGAAGCTAAAACCGGGTATTCATTATAAATAATATACGGTGACGGTATCTTGACGTCCAGCAAGTGACGTATCATTGACGTCTGCTATATGATATTATCGGTATGTGACATTAGAAGGTTATTTTCATGTGATTTTACGATCAGCTTGTAACGTCATTTTCACGTACTTGGGCTACCTGAGGTGGTGACTGAACGTTACTGAAAAGTAATTCAAACCTAAATGGCTTCATTTTGCGGCCAGTCTCACAATATGTTGATAATGTTAAGCAATGTTTTGGGTTTGTACAGGATTGAAGTGGGACGTTCTTCATTTACGCTACGACTGAAGCTGCCTTTGTGACAATTGAAGAGTGAGGGATGGGATACGTCTTGGGGAGTTGCAGGTATCAGGATTGATTTCCATGATTACTAAAATAAAAAAATCATTTTTCTAAGATACAGATACCGACAGTGAAAACAGTTGGATTTGTATTGCCGTTGACCCCTTTTTTTACGTTTGATCTCTGTGAATCGATAATCTGACTTCATTTGGTGCTTTTTATCCCGAAGCATAGCTATATTTCTCGAAACATTCACTTTTTATTGTAGGCTCCATGAAAAACACGCGTACATTTTTTAATTCAATTTTTATCAATTGTCTTGTCTGATACCCCATGGATCCAAGTCAATCTACTTGACTCCATTTCTTGAGGGAAAAGTAGTCCCCCCCCTTGTGCATCAACGTCCAAAATGGCGGTGCGCGTTTGCGATGCACCCGTGAAATTCTAGATCCTCCCCATTTCAGCAGTAAAGACA